AAAGTTGGCTTCCGCTGGGATCCACAGGAAATCGACCGAGTTCCCTCTTTCTTGGTGCAGTTTAGCCAACTCGTAAATTTGCCGTATAGTGCCTTTATCCGTACCTGTCGGTAGAGCATCAGAAAGTTGTCACGTGAGCGGCTCCCGGCGACGGCCCCGCATTCGAAGGTGGATCACCGATTGATTGTTTGCGATGCTGAACGTACTGGGGGCCCGAAGTGAAGGGTCGAACACTTATTGACAGAGCTTTCGAACAGTCCTAGAGTGTGAGAGACAAGTGGCATTGGGGCGAGTCACCAGGGCACTGCAAATGCAGACTCTATTCTGCTAATCGCAAGATGGGAGAAAAGGAAGAGAAACTGGAAGAGCTCTCGCGATGCAGAGCTCAAATGCCAAAGCAAGTGGGGCACGGCGAGCTCAACGACAGGTGTCACCCCTAGACTGCCTTCCCTGACCACCTGTCAAATCCAACAGGGCCCTTTCCCTCGAAAGTGGCAACACCGCACCCAGAGCTCTGGTAGCGGGGACGCACAGACCAAACTCAGCTCGATAACGCCATTTCTGGTGCAAAGCAACTCAGCAGCTCCACCGGCCGATTTCGCCATTCCGCCCGCATGTTGCACACCATCCCAAGGCACTTGATGCAGCAGTCACAGTTCAAACCCATGGCAAAGGCATTCGTGGTCTTTTGCGAACGATAGTCATTTAAACCGAGTGCCAGCAGGCCAGGCGCGACACATCCCAGCGGACGATCCAGCGATCGTTACGGATTATCGCCAGCTGTATCCATATCAAATAGCGACCCGCATTACATGTGGCCAAGAGCTGCCGCACTCGACGCACCCTGACTTTCCTTTGAGCTCCCTTGCTTTCCGGCAGCTTTCCGGAAGTTTTCCGATTGCGAAGCGACAGCAGCGCATTGCGTGCCTCCGTGCCGCTCGTCGCAATTCACCCGGCCGCCTGGCCACCCTGTGACCAGCCCCGAGAGCGCAGCACACGACTGGCCACGACCGGCCTCTCAGCAGCCGTTTGAGACAGCACGCCATCGGCTCAGCTTGACAGTGACTGGCAAGCGAGGCCAATGCTTGCAGGGGCCATTTAACTCATTGCCAACGCAAGACGCCCGCCTGCTTGCGTTTCGCTCTTCTCCCGAGATGGACCACCTCGAATCTCCCACACCATTCCATGGCCATCCGCCACTCCCGAAGCATGATGGCATCGATGTCCGGACGAATGACGCCGATCGTGCGTTCCTGACAGACAGGTCCACACCGCGACATAAGATTGTCACTCTCAGCAGAGCCGGGGACGTCGACGTGCGGGGATCCGTGGATACTGCGAAGAACTGCGAGACTCGAATACGCCCCGAGGAGGAACGACAGCGGACGCGGGAAAGCATGCACAACATGTCGTCGTCACTGATTGGGAAGACGGTCACGCCCTTCTTGAAGGAACACATCCCCAGCCTGTATGCGCCCGTTGGCAAGTCAAACAACGAACAGACGGCGCGGGAGAAGAACCCCAACACCAAGTACTGTTACCGCCACAGGCCTGACTCGAAATGTCGAAGATCCGCCGACGAGGCCAAGATGGTCATGATCCAGCGAGAGTTGGACAAGCTCACCCCCCAAGACCAACAAGCCATCACCCACGTGTGGTCCTTGTTCTCCGCTGCGCCGGCCCGTCACCGCGAGCTGATGTTGCAGGGCGTCCTCGCACAGCTCTGTTTCCCTCAGCTTTCGCTCGTTTCTCGCGAGGTCAGTGAGGCGCTCAAGATTGACTTCATCGCTGCTCTGCCCGTCGAGATCGCCCAGAAGATCCTGTGCTATCTCGACACCGTGAGCCTCACCAAGGCAGCCCAGGTCAGCCAACGATGGCGCCTTCTGGCCGACGACGACGCAGTATGGGTCCGCATGTGCGAGCAGCATGTGAACAGGAAGTGCACGAAGTGTGGCTGGGGGTTGCCGCTCCTGGAGAGAAAGAAGCTTCGGAACTACACGCGGGCGCGCCAGCTGGCGAAGGACAGCAATTCCAATGGAAGGGTACAAGAGTTGCCCGACCCGTCGCGCGCAGACACCGATTGTTCGACTTTAGGGAAGCGCTCAAGCGAGTCGATGGACGAGAGTTCGGGTGGGAAGCGACGTCGTCTCGAGAATCAAGAAACAATCACTCGGAGCTGGAAGGCTGTGTACAGGGACCGGTGGCAGGTGAGCATACTTATTTCTCCTCTTGGACACCAAAATGCTCACCATATTCAGGTTGGCTACAATTGGAAGTACGGACGATGCTCGCTCAAGACGCTCAAGGGGCACACTAACGGCGTGACCTGTCTCCAATTGGACGACAACATCCTCGCGACTGGTTCATACGACGCCACCATCAAGATATGTATGTGCGCCTTGGAAATCTTCACCCGCTCGACTGGAGGCTAATTGGACTCGGATAGGGAACATTGAGACTGGCGAGGAGATTTGTACCCTTCGGGGCCACACGCGAGGAATCCGTGCGCTACAGTTTGACGATTCCAAGCTGATTAGTGGGAGCTTGGACAGTACGTTGGGCCCCTGCGCAGGGAATGGCTGACACCTTAGCTGACGTTGGCGTAGACACCATCAAGATTTGGAATTGGCACACCGGCGAGTGCATCTGCACACTGCAAGGCCACACCGACGGCGTCATCAGTGTCCACTTTGACGGACACCTATTAGCTAGTGGCTCGGCCGACAAGAGTGTCAAAATCTTTGACTTCAACTCCAGGGAGGCATTCTGCCTCAAGGGCCACGACGATTGGGTCAACTGCACCCGTCTCGACATCAACAGCCGGACAGTCATGTCCGCATCGGATGACACTACCCTGAAACTCTGGGACCTGGACACCAAACAGGCTATCCGAACTTTTGAAGGCCACGTCGGCCATGTCCAGCAAATTCTTCTCCTCTCGCCCGAGTACGAGCCGGATGACGAATTGCTGATCGGCGCCGCAAATGGGTCGGGCGATAACACCGACGCGCTATCCGTCGCCAGCAGCGGGGGCGACGGGACCTCGACAAGGTCCTTCATGCATCCCGAACGGCGCAGCAGCTCGCCGTCCCGCGACAGCGATGGGGATATCCGCTCCCTGTACGGCCCGTCTTTCGCCTCGGATCCACTGCGTCCCTTACCTCCGCGCTATTTCCTCTCGGGCGCCCTGGACAGCACCATCCGGCTCTGGGACAGCGCGACTGGCCGGTGCCTGAAGACCATGTTCGGGCATCTCGAGGGCATCTGGTCGCTCGCGGGCGACACGATCCGCGTTATTAGTGGTGCCAACGACGGCATGGTCAAGTGCTGGGAGCCGCGCAGCGGGAAATGTGATGCGACCTTTGTCGGGCACCGCGGGCCGGTCACTTGTGTTGGGCTGAGTGATAGCCGCATGGCCAGCGGTAGTGAGGATGGGGAGGTGCGCATTTATTCGTTTAGGGATATCGGGAGTGCGAATGGGCATTGCGTCTTGGACACTCCCATCCCAGGTCACAGCTGACCACGGCTGGACGGTCGGTCATGGACGGGGAGCCAGGGTCGGATGGAGTTAGGGGCTCGTTTCTCTCTTTACAGTTTGTGGTGTGTTTTTCTTTCTGTTTCTCGGGCTCATTTGCGGAACGGATCAGTTATCAGGGGGTGCTTTGGCGACGGTCTGGACATTTGGTTGGCGTATCCTTCTTTGGCGTGGCAGGCAAAGTGTCTAAAAAGCTCATTTAGAAGGGGGCTTTCAGCAGGCGAGTCGGACATTGCTTTTGTTTGTGGTTCAGGCATCGAATACCCGTTGCTGCAATTCGATGATTTGTTCCATCAACGTTGTACTCTATATACGGTGTTCCCATACGGATATCCGGATTTGTGATCATTTTCTGGTTTCTCCATGCCGATCGCTCAATCTCTTGCGGTTCTCTTCGGTTGATTGATTGTCCGTTTTCCGAGCAGCCACTCGGCAAAACCAATTTGACCTCGGCTTTGCTGCTTGCGGCAGGCGGTCGATCCCGGAAGCGTCCGAGCTCACGGCTGTGGTGTGGGGTTTCCGCCCCTCAGATTTTCCCCGCAAAATCACAAGCCATCTCGGCTTGCAGCCGGGTATCGACGTCACGGTCAGATCACAAGCCAGAACGAGCAGAATTGCCTTCTACCTTGGCGACAACGGCGCTCCGTCACGAGGGCCAGCTGATATTTGAGGTTGCCGTGTTTTCGCCAGTTCTCGCAAGAGCGGAATAGTATCAAAATCATGGAGGCTTTGGTGGTTCCAATAAAATGCTCACCTTGGGGAGGGCTTGGGAACAGTCAAAAAAGACTTGCCCCACAGCAACTCTCAAGCATTTTGATTCAAGACACTGGCTCCGCTAAGCCGAAGGCCGGGCCCGTCACAGCTTATCCCATGTGTCCGGACAGAGACAACTGGTTGTCATCCGTCACATCCCGTCACGGCCCTTGCACATCAGCCCTTTGTTTTCACGACAATGGATTTTCCTGCTGCTGTCCGGTTTCTGTCGTTTTATTGGCCTTTTTCCAGCTTTTTCTCCAACCATTGACCAAGGTTCACCCAATCTTCTGGCTAGTAGGCCCCCCTGAGTCAACCCATCAATGTGGATCTCCTTTCCTTGATGTGCCGAACGCAAGGGGCGGGTTCTAGGTCTGGGTCTATCATTCCAGCGATATCTGGGGCAAGCAAGGTACCGTATGTACCTCGTTTGTTCGGCCTCGTGCCCACTCGGCTCGGCTCCTGTTCTGGTCTGAGATCCGATCTGCCGTGGCTCTGAAGAGTCATATTTGGGGTTGGTGTCTCCCTAATGGACAACCCATTCTTTCCCCTTCGTCCTTCCCTTCGTCTTGTTTCATTACCTCCTTATCCATCTGGTGATACCCCGTCTCCATACAGCTTGTGATCATTCGCCGTTGTTCATCTTCACCGGTCCCCCAATTGCATGTGGTGTTGTCCACCACAGTTCCAGATCCTCATCACCATCCGCCATTAGATTTGACGCCAGCGGTTCACACACATCGGTCCACGATCACTCAACCAAAGGACTTAGACCCAGTTTCCACGGTGGGATTGGCAAGCATCATCAGGGGATAAGCCGACCTCGGCATCCGAAGACAGGGGCTTGGCGTTTCTGTCACGGCGATATCTCGGCCACCTTTGTTGAAGTTCATCCAGGAGGACTCTCGGGCAGGAGAAAGCAGGAAGCGAATTTCCCAGGCACACTCGGGAACATGGCGACAAAAGTGAACAAGGACGGCAAAAAGCCGCCGTCAGCGGCGACTAACCTCATTGGTGAGCCCCAGCTACCGTCGCACTCCCGGCCAGCGCATGCTGCTATGCGTAATACTGACACTTTGGATCGTTTCGCAGCTGGCGGTGGTGCGGGTATGATGGAGGCATTGGTGTGCCATCCTCTGGGTGAGTGGTGGTTGCTCAAGGCTGATAGGGGTTGCTGCGCCAGGTCATGGATTGGCTGACATGCGACGTGCAGACACCATCAAAGTGCGCATGCAGCTTTCTCGGCGAGGCCGGCAACCGGGCATGCCCAAGCGCGGTTTCATCGCCACAGGCGTCGAGATTGTGCGCAAGGAGACACCCCTGGGCCTGTATAAGGGCCTCGGCGCCGTGCTCACGGGCATTGTCCCCAAGATGGCGATCCGCTTCACTTCGTTCGAGTGGTATAAGCAGCTGCTCGCGAGCAAAGAGACGGGCGTGCTCTCGGGCCAGGGCCTCTTTTTCGCCGGCCTCGCCGCGGGCGTCACCGAGGCCGTCGCCGTCGTGACCCCAATGGAAGTCGTCAAGATCCGGCTGCAGGCGCAGCACCACAGCATGGCCGACCCTCTCGACGTGCCCAAGTACCGCAATGCGGCGCACGCGCTGTACACCATCGTCAAGGAGGAAGGCGCGGGCGCGCTGTACCGCGGCGTGTCGCTGACGGCGCTGCGCCAGGGTAGCAACCAGGCCGTCAACTTCACCGCCTACACCTACTTCAAGGAGTGGCTCTACCAGTGGCAGCCCGAGCACCGCGGCGGCAACCTGCCCAGCTACCAGACCACGCTCATCGGCCTCGTCTCGGGCGCCATGGGTCCGCTCAGCAACGCGCCCATCGACACCATCAAGACGCGCCTTCAGAAAATGAAGGCCGAGGAGGGCACCACCGCGCTGCAGCGGATTACGAGGATCACGGGGGATATGTTCAAGTCCGTTTCCCGGCCCTCCTCCTTTTCCCTCTAACAAATCCTTCGTGGGGAATATTGACACATGTGCAAAAACAACAGACAAGAAGGCGTCCACGCATTCTACAAGGGCATCACGCCCAGGATAATGCGCGTCGCGCCCGGCCAGGCCGTCACCTTCACCGTTTACGAGTTCCTCAAGGAGAAGCTCGAGAGAAGCAAGCCCACCATCCTGACGGGGGGAAGGTACGAGGAATAAATCCCACCCCTAAACCCCGCTGAGAGCGACCGATCTTGTGTCTTTCTGTCGTCAAACATCAACCCCCATGGATTATTTGGTGTCTGTGCATGCTCTTGTAGCAAATGAGCGGAGTCATGTATCCGCGCATGTATGGCAGTTGTTTTTTGCGTTTGGATTTCGATTTTCTGTGTTATATGCTGATGGAATTTTTGCTGTTCTTCGCTTGTTTGCAGCCGCGATGCAGAGTTCGACAGTATGAAGGCGAAAGCTTCGTGAAGGCCCATGGGGAAACGGAATCGAGAAGGGTCCCCGTTGAAGGATGGGCTTGAGGGATGGTCACCGCAGCAGGGCGGATCGTGGAGAAATACCTCTAAAACAACGAAGGAAGTCTATGAAACGCCACAAGCAGGATCCTGGGAGAGGGAATTGGTGGCGCTCTCATGCTTGTGTGGTTCCTCGGGCGGGTTTGTCGTCGTGTTGCCTGAACTTGGGTCCTGTCAGGGCATTGGGCGGCGTGGAGTTTTTGGCTTTTTCCTGTTGACTACGATATCTTGTTGCTTTTGCATATGGTTTAGATGGACGTATCTAGATCGGCTACTAGGTAGGTGTCCGCTTTTTGCCATAACTTATATGTTACTGTTGTTTGAAAATTGAAGTCAGCCATCGGCACTTTGGGCTTCACATAACTTAGTCATTCGGCATTGTGTGCCTCTGAATGCTCGAAGCACAAAGGAAGGGAGACCACAAATGGAAAGACTCAACAAACAACAAATCGGTACCAGTTGCTGACTTTTGTCTATAACATATTTGTTGGCGCTCCTTGTCTCCTATGCCCAGCAATGGCTGTTAGCCTGAGGAGTCACCAAACAAACAACAAAGGGGCGACGTGTAGAGCCTGAGTGGCCCCCCAGTCAACATGAACCCTCCCGGCAATGGGCTGTGTTGATACCTGAGTTAGGTACCTCAAGCCAAGGGAATGCATCGTATATTCTGTCGGTGCAGCAACCTCACGGGTTCTGGCCACCTCACCGTGCGTTGAGCGATTTCGAAAGACTGCATGTTGACTTTCACAGGAGAGTGCCCGGGGCCAGGCCTTTTCGCTCCAGAGTGTGGCTTCCTTGAACCGACATCGCCATAGATGGCAAAAGAAATGATTCTTCTTTAGCAGCTCTTAATGGTTTCTGAGTCATGTTTACCCTGTGTGAGAGGTTTCTGACAGGTTGGGGGGAATGGGCGACATATTTGGAGGTCGAGCGTGAGGGTTGCAAAACAGGATTGGTCATCACAGGTCTCTCCGCGTATCATTCCACTCATTTCACCAAGGATGCGTGATGCAATAGCCCCGAAAACGTTGACAGAACTGCATACAAAGGGATCATGGATTGGTTTACCGCCGAACTTCCACACCATTCCTCCGCCCTGAGCGGACCTGAATACCCTTTCCACACTGGCAGAGAAACCCTTCGGCATACACCAGGCTGGACCACATCAAGGCCTAGGCTTATTCGTCGGCTGTCCCATCGCATTCTTCCCTAACAAGCCTGTCGGGTTGCCCCCGTCTGTCGCCGTGGTGAAGTTTGGGTCAGGGCCGGCCGCCGTCCTTGTTGGCTGCTGCTGACTGGGCATCGCCGCATCGAGAGTTGCCTTCCCCGGCTCCCGAGCTGTGGACAGAGACTGAGTTTTCGTAGCCTGGAAATGGACAAAACGGACAACGTACGCTCCATATCGGTCTTGACAACCTTATCCAGCCCCTTCTTTACCGTGTCCTTCATTTTGTCCATGATGCAGAAGATTGATGCGAGTCTCGATCGGTGTCTGGGTGAAAAGGGAGATTCGACAAGGTTTCTGCGGTTGAGTGACGATTCGGAAGGCTTGTGAGGCAGTAGTTAATCCACTGGTTCATGCTTTATCTTCCCTGCTGGCATTGAGTGTTTTGTGATGTCATCAAACCCGCCAAGTTTCTCGGCAGACCATATGGCCAGAGCATTCCATGACGGATGAACCCTCCCCACCACACGCAAGACAGCAATGATGTCCTGTAAAAAGGGCGACCGACGGATGCATTGCTGACTTTTAAATCTAGTTTTGGGGATTCATGCTGGAACGAACAGCGCTATATGCGAGGGAACTAGGCGCTCATGAACCCCAGCGGCTAATAAGTTCATCTCTCTTTAGGTTCTTGCCCCTGAGCTTCGCCATACCGTTGTCAACGTCTTTGAGCTTCTCATCGACGGCTGCCAGCCCCTGAGCAAGCACGGTGATGGAACCGTCAATTTCGGGATCCACGAGCCGAATTTCGCCAAAGGGGGTTTCAGATAGGATGGAATCGCGGACCAGCTGAATCGCCAACTTTCCGTCAGCGACTTGTTTCGTGGTTGCGCTCTCGAAAGTGTCTTGGACATTCCGTGCGACATCTTGGACCTTTGCCCGACGACTGGCAATTGTCGACGCCAGCTCCATGATCTGTTGGTGGACGTTGACTGGCTCATCTTCGGGCTGCGGCAAGCTGATAGCAAGGGTGCGGAGAATCTCTTCCAGGGGCGACTCCTCGCCAATGGCGGGCGCACCAGACGAGTGCCTTGATCGCGGCTTGGGTCGAGGGCGGACTGGGGATATGGCATCCTGTTGCGTGGCGCCTTTCTGTGAAGCAGGTTCACTGGTGCAGGCCGCGGCCTGCATATCCAACTCTGACTCGGCAATGTCTAGGACGGCATTGGCTGCCAGTCGATATGCCTGGAAGGCACCTAGCCGAGCCTCAAGGTCTTGTCCGCGGTCGATGAGATAGTCGAGGCAATCGTGAATCTGGGCGGTCAGCTGGGAAGGCCCCTTGGGCGTTTAACGCGACTCACATAGCTGGTGGCCAGAGCAGACCTTGCCAATCGCTGGCCGTTCTTTGCGGCGAGACTCTTCAGCGCAGGCTCCAGGAACTGCTGCTCAGTGGACATCTGTGCCACTGGAAGAATCTCGGCATAGAGAGATTCTAGTTCCGCTTGCAATGCAGCAACCTCGTCAGCCGTGACTCGGCTGCTGGACCCCGACTGAACCGGAAGCTCAAGGGACTCTAGATAAATGCGATCAAGCCTAGTCCGGATTCCCTCGACCGTGAACTTGATCAGCCTGCATGGCGTTAGTGTGTGCTCAACAGTGGTAAACGGGGACGGACAACGGACCTGGCGCAGGTCTCACGCAGCACGGCGACATCGGCTTGTTCTTCGGCATCCTCAGTTTCCAGCTCCCATGCCAGCTTCTGAAGACTGGACAGCAGCTTGTCGTCGGAACGGAACAGGGTCTCCACCGTCTGCTGGATTGACCCGTCAGCCTTGGTGGTCGTACGCTGGAGCTCGTGAATACGAGAGTCCAGAGACTGCGACAGTTCAGCTGCCTGGTGTCCTGTTAATGTCAATGTCCCCGATAACCACAGAAAGTCTAGGCGATACACACGACTGATGCAAAGTCTCTGCGCTGGGTCTGCCATTTCCGGACCTGGTTTTCTTCGACGGCGGCTCGCTCTTCCTTGTTTTTGCGGCTGTCGTCAACGAGGCGGTCCAACGCCTGCTGCTGCTGCTTGAGCGTCTCCGCATGCCGGCTGATGGCTTGAGTCGAGCGGTTTAATTCATCTATGGCCTCCTTAATCTCTCGCTCACTCAAGACACGAGCGGCGGAGAGGTCTGACGACATGGCGAGCCTCTCGGCAAGGCCCGCGTCCTCGAGGGCAGCATATCTGAGGCCATTATGAGAATCGAGATCCAAAAAAAAAGGTACCAAATGACGTACTGGTTTAATTCGTCTACGGTCAGAAGCGTGTCTGGGCAGAGGTGGGCTGCGGCCCAGCGCTCAATGTCGGTCGAATTTGGCCCGGAGACGGCTGCTCTCACTGCTGATGCATCCACGGATGCGTCGTACGCCCGCAGGATTCTAAGCAATGACTCGGCATCCATCTCGGAAAAGGGTCGATTCACAGCATCAAAGCCAGGTTCTGCAGACGATGATATCCTTCGGTTGTGAGAGACAGTCCTGACAATTTCCGCCGAGTCGCCGAATTCCGGCTTTCCGACCTTGGCGTGGATGTTTTTGACCCCTGAATGGATCTGCCGGGACTGCCCGCGCTAATGCAAGTTGTGGACGCAATGTGGTCCATGCTTAGCGCCAAGCCTCGGCATACTGGACCTGACGTCGGCCAAACCAGGCTTGCTTCCTTCCACAACAGCGACACTCGTGAAAGCTCGCCCCCTTCCTTCTTTTCGTTACGTCCGTAGACAGCAATCCTACCTCGACTTCGACGGTCACGCTTACTGCTGTCTCCCGAGCTTCGAAGCGACTTGGCGACTTGGCGACTTAAGGTGGACGACTAGTGACATCGCCGGGACTCTACCATGAATCACCATTGGTGCACACGACTTTGCTTCAAAGTTCGTGCCTCGACTCCGGCCCTCGAATGTTGACCCGCCGTCTGCAAGCCATCGGACCTAAAGTGGCATGGAAGCAGGGGTTGCTCTTGTTGATGGCCTGCCAGACGCGAGCTCTGATACTGCACCTCCCTTTGTTGCCGTCTGAATTTGCTTGATGGACTTGAGACCGTCTTTCCAGGTCTCGATTGCTCGCACCGTTCCACAGCCGCAACTCGGAATCCATTACGGCAGGCCAAGTAGCAACTATTGTCGAGAGTCTCAATGAAGGGTGCAGCAACATCAGTTGAGTATGTACCTCCCTCAGGACGTCTTCCTTACCCCTGGCAAGGAATGGCGCGAACATGATGACGGGTTAACCAGCCATGGACGGCCATTCAATCCACACCGACAAAGACCCCGCGTTTTGTCGAGGCTCATCAAGAGTTATGTGGCACAGCATCATGTTTCTGCGGGGAGTGAGTGGGTGGAGTTGGTAGTGCAGTGTTTGAGGTCAGCTCACGACCGCTCGGGTGCTTTGATCATGACGAAAGCCAGCCGAGCACTTTCACGGAATTGCTCCGGAGGACTAGATTGGACACGGCTGGTTTTGCCTTGTTTTGACTTCAGCGAGTCGAGAACTGAACGGCTTCCGTCTGATTTAGGTTGGCGAGGCAGCACAACCACAGCGTTGTGGACAGAGCTTGTCCTTGTCCTACTGCCTCACAACGTGACTTCTTCCTCCGACGCCGTTTACGAAAGGCAACCGGCCCTACAACACCGCTGATCAGCCCTGTTGTGCGTTCGACAAACCGTGCTACACACACGCTTAGGCCAGACAGAGGTTGGAACCGCGGCCAACCGCTATTGCAAGGCGGCAAGGTGCATGTCCGCCGCCACACAAGCCGGGGCCCTGCAACTTACCACCGCACCGCTGACAGCTGCGTTGCTGGCTGGCATTTTGAGCCTATTTTCGTTTGTGCTCCCTCCACACGTGTTCGGGACTTGGTTATCCTTCAGCTTCCTGATTCGACATCCTGGCAGACCACCATCGCGTCTAAGAGACCGAACAACAACAGGCAGAAGAGCGCTGGCAACTGCTGCTTTGTCAGATCTTACATGAGCCGTCGCTTGCTTCTTCTTGGAATTTGCGGTGTGGTCTGGATTGATCACGGGCAGCCAAGCAAGCCGTTTGCGGGAGCGACGCTGTGGCGTTGATATGCCGAAGCCAAGGCCGCTCGGCTGCTCTGCCGGGCCCTCCTTGCGGGGCTTTCCCGTCATTGACTGACATGCAAGACAGACAAGGCATAAGAAACAAGGCGCTCTATGAGCTTGTGGGCTGGTAGACCTCCTTGGATATCTGAGACTCCTCATGTTCCTACCCATCGGGCCGCGACACGACGAGAAGTCACCTGTCAAGGCGACAACCGAGGCTCGTTCGCGAAGTTGAGACGCAGTCGGGTCGGCGACACAGACTGTTCCCACCTCCCGTCCCGCGTTAGGAAGCATTCAAACAACGCCGACTTCCTCTTGCAGTGCTTTGTTCCTTGCTCACTGTGCACGCTCTGTTTGACCCAAGCCTGCAAGCGGTCGCAAGCCGGGATCGGTCCACTCAAGCTGGGTTTCCGTGCCAGACAGAGAACGGTCTACACCGACATGTTTACGTGTCGCTCCAGGACGATCCTTACGGACATGTCGTGGGCCCAACGCCTCAGACACAGCCTACTGCGACACCCCGATCCATACAGCCTATTCGTTGACGGCCGGAACGGATCCCGGGTTCCCAGTCTCCTCGGTTGAGGGGCGTTTCAATACCTGCGGTGAGTATTCCGAACTCCTCCTGATCAGCAATGGCACAGCGTTCCGTTGCAGGGCGCTTCAACTGGGGATGCGATGGGCCCCAATGGCTCTCCCTGGGCCTCACCGTCGGGACGGCTAAGTGAAGATGGGCCGGGGAAATACAAACGCAGGGTCGGTTGCAGTGCGTGTCCCAGACACCACGACCTGCTTCCGCTGCTGTCCCCATAAGTGCAACTGTCGCCATCCTCATGTTGCTTCCAGGTTTCGCCCAGAGCCATGTCTCACTGCTTGTATGTGTGTACCTGTGCGAGAAGCAAACAACCTGCCGTCCAGTTATTGCTCCGCGCCGAACTCACATTTCTCCGGAGCCGGTGCCGTGGTGCCGGGTTCGGCACGGGGATGGCTTCGCTGCCCGTGTGCTCGCCACCCACAAGTCTTGATGCTTCAACACCACTCGCTCGACCAGGGTTCGAGTTACGCACACGGCTTCAACACGGGCTCGTTGCTGTTTTTGTTGGCTTCGTCGCCCAATTGTTGATAGCAGGCATTCAGCTTGGGCTGGATCAGGAGAAGTCCGAATTTCCCGCGCCAATACTCGCCATGGTGGGAGTGTTTTTGCTGTTTTCGATAACCGGATGCGTCGTCCCAGGACTCGAGGATTTTTACAGAAGACGGTTAAAACGGCCTGTAGGTATTGTCTTCAACAGGCGCAGATCTCTTACTTGCTGACCAGGACAGACAGAGCTCCTGAACCGCCATATGTCGATCGGATTCACCGTTCCCGTCGTCATGCTGTGCCATGGTCCTCCATCCGACACCCACAGCAATGGCATGATCATCATCTGCTTTGGTAAGACGAGGTGTATCCGTGTCAGTGGAAGTTTGACTGACGCCTGCAAGTGCTGACGGGCATGCTCAACACCTTTCTTGCCTACTTACTCGCCTTTCCGGTTCAGTGTCTCATGGTCCGTCACGACAAGCAGTTCTGGGTTGACGGACATACCGATGTTGAGAGAGCCGAGGACCAAAAGGGATTGAAACAGCACAAGTCGACGAAACCGCTCTGCGGGGGTTCTCCCACGGGAAGTTCCCTTATATTTGGTCTCGACTCCTCGAGAGAGTCCTCTGGAGTCTACGAACCGACATCCCCCTCCGACCAACGAACCGAAATCCCGCCAAACCAGCGTCCGCTGTTCGTCTGGGCCTGTGGAAACCCGATCCTCCTCCTCTGCTGGCTGCTCACTCTCACCCTCGGTCTTCCCCTCCGCTACTGCGCCCAACACGACGTGCCGCTTGCAACCTTCCTCCACCTCGCCGTCTGGCTCACCACCCTAGCCATCCAGTCCACCATCAAATCCACCCCAAATCTAGCCCCCTGGCTGCGCACCGTCGTCTCGGGTCTCTCGAACGCAGTCCTCTGGACTGCGCTCGTAATGATAGCCTACGTCTTCGCCGACTCGGCCCTCAGCAACCGCCCCCTGCCAGCCATGCTCGACACCCTGCAAGCCCACACCCCGCTATCAACCCTCATCGTCCGCGCCGCCACCACGAACTCATTCCCCCCATCCCCATCCCCATCCTCACCAAACCTGACATTACCGCCACCACCACCACCCAGCCCAAAGCCGACGATTACAATGGCAGCAGGCGACCTGGCCATAACAATTCTCAACTCAGGGCTCGTAGCATGGGGCCTGAAACTCTACGAGCACCGGTCCCAGCTTTTCTCCCGCGCGGGACTGACCGTGTGCACGGTCTCGGCGCTGCTCGCGCTCGGCAACGTCGTTTGCGGTCCCTTGTTTGCGAGCGCGGCGCTGGGCGTCGCGCCGCCCAGCAGGGCGCTTGCGTTTGCGGCGCGGAGCGTCACCATCGCGCTGGCGAACCCGGTCATGGGTATCTTGAAGGGGGATGGCGGGTTGAATGCTGCTATGGTTGTCGGGAGCGGGATTGTGTACCAGATGGGGATGGGATTTGGGGTGGGTGCGTGGCTGGAGAGGAGGGTGTTGGGAAGGGGTTTTGGGGTGGGGAGGAGGTTGAAAGGGGTTGGGGACGGTGGTGGGAGAGTTGAGGTTGGTGGTGGTGAAGACGCTGGGGCGGGAACGCAGCAGGCTGCTAGGGAGACGGGTGTTGGTGGTGGTGGTGAAGACGCTGGGGCGGGAACGCAGCGGGCTGCTAGGGAGACGGGTGTTGGTCGTGGTGGTGACACAGACACAGACACAGACACAGACAGGGGGACGGAGGCATGGACACGGAGACCCACACAGGAAAGAGCAGCGGAGAGACACAGCGCGGAGATCGCGGCCGTAACGGCGCGGCAGAGGACGAATGATCCGCGGATTGTCGCCGCGGGCGTCACAGTCGGGGTGAACGCGGCGGCCATGGGCACAGCGTACTTGTATGAGGTGCAGAGCGAGGCGGCGCCGCATGCTGCGCTGTCGATGATTGCGTTGGGCATCATGACGGTGGTGTTCTCAAGTATCCCGCCGCTTGCAGCGTGGATCTTGGGTCGTGTCGCTGGGTGAGGTACATGTTTGTCAAGAATCTTAATATACCCTGCCGAAGGAAGTAGAGGGACACATGGGCCGATTCTATGTACGTGGAGAGAGCCTGTTAAGCAAAAGGGCGTGCTGAATGGAGAAGGGCAACGCTGGCGCATATGCGTCCCCCAGTTGATGTGGATGGCCACCTTGCACAATTCATAGGGAATCCTAGTGTATTTGGAGAAATCGGCCAGATGACCATTGGAAATATGCTTGCTTTTGCTGTTAACCTTCATGAAATGCTTGCTGTTGTAGTGTCCACATCGGACCGACAACATCGCCTTGGTGCTGCCCCTTGATGGAAGTGTAGATCGAGGCTGTCGAACAAAGGAACGTCGTCCGGAGGTATGTTACAACCAAACAATCATGTTCGTTGTGTTGCTTACTTGCCCCTTCAACAACCTTACTCGAGCCTAGGCCTCATTGTCAGTGACTTCCTGTCGAGTTCTAATTTTGAAGGGGAAGCATACCGCTCGATCAGGTGCAGCCCGCTCGCCGTGTCGACAATGCCGGAAATCTCGCCTGGCCTGAGGGCGAACGCAGCGTCCTCGAACTCCTTTTGCATGTCCCCTCGACCAAAGTAGCCCAGATCGCCCTGCTTCCGCGCACTGCTGCAGTCCGATTCGGTGAGCGCCAGCTGACCGAGGGAGATCTCGCCGCCCTTGATGCGCGCCTCGTGCGCCTTGATGATCTCGAGTGCCTCCTCCTTGCTCCGAGTGATCTGGTTCTCGCGCCAGCTCGAGGGCCGCCGACTGTCGCGATGCTTAACCAGCAGGTGCGCCGCGCGGATCTTTCCCGGCTGCCGGTCCTCGCCCGTGGGCGCCGCCAGGTTCTTGCTGCTGTGGTACGTAGCCATAAAGATCTTCAGCTTCTCCGTGTCGGTGCCCGCGGGTGGTTCCCAGCGCGAGACCTTCTCGACCGAGTTGAAGTAGTAGGGGAGGTTTTTGGACTGGCTGTGGCGCACCTCCCAGTTCGGGGGCAGGCCGGTTTCGGATTGCTGGAGGCAGGCAAGTTAGCGCATTAACGTTGGGGATTCAGGAGAGAGGGTGTCGTCGAGGTTGGGCAACTTGTCACTCACGTCAGCCATGGCTTGCTTCAGATTGTTACCTCGGGATGCGCACTCGACAGGTAACTAACTACCTGAGAAATTGAGTTCAATCGAGCGGACAACAGCAGACAGACAAAAAGAATCGAGGCTGGGTCTTTTAGTAAGCAGCTCGAAGAGCAACAGGGAGAACAGCAGGCTAAAGAGAACAACCCTCCCAGGATCTTTCTGCAAGAGCACACCAGATGACGCGCGTGGTGCTTAAGTAGGGGTCGGCAGAGCGACAAGGTTGCAATGACTGCCAATCCCAAGCGCTCTCGGCACATCCCCACCAGCTTCCCACTCCGCCTTTCCCGCCTGCTGCACTCCGCACCAGGGCAACGGTGGACGGGTTGCACCGAGCCCCTGTTTCGGTGGTCGGGGACCCCACCATCGCTGGCCTGCGTCCCCGTCACCTGTTCCATTGGGGTGGGAGCCGCTCAATGCATCTTTCATCACGAGAACCTGCAGCTTGCAAGCAGCGTTGTATTTGGGGGCTGACTGTTGCGAATCCACGGTCGTTGATTCGGAAGGAGCAGCCCTCGAGATCACGAACGGGCTGATGACTTGGCCAAGTTGGCGTTGAACATCTGTACGGAGGTACCTGGTGGCTGGGTAAGTGTTGAAGTGGCTTTGGCATCATTTTAACCAGCCAGTCAGCACGGGCTCCATTGATGAAGAAAATGTGGCTTTCAAGAGTGATTTGTAACTGTCAAACCGATTTGAGCGAACGTGCACCGCGCTTTGTGTCCTCGGAATGTGTGCAGGTGACGGTCACCAAATTTGGCACGGTACAAACTGTGGCGTGCCAAGTCGGCATACAATTGCAAAGGCAATTGCAAAATGGCTCCACTTTTCTCGGGCTGTGTGAACGGACATCAGACTTCAGCAGACGTGAACGTGGATCACCCAGCAACGACTGCTTGAAGCTTTGCATCTTTCCATATTCCCTCACGGCAGTGGCAGTTCCTTTTCCCTTTCATTTCTCTTTCAGAAGGTAAATTCTCAAGCATTTAGAACGTGTTGCAACTGCACCACACGCTCTGGCATTTTCCAGCCTTCACTACCTGCATTATCACTCGCAGAGCTAACACCTCCCTTTTGCCACTCTTTATCAACAAAGACCGACTCGTCAACCTTCGCCTGACAGACTCTCCTCACTTCGCGCCGCAAAGCACACCGACCCGGTCAATCTTGCTGCTTTGGCATCGCGGCACTCACCCAGCCACGACACATCTCAAAGCAGGGTTCCTTCAGACAGACACCAACACCAGCCATGTCGTCACCGGCAGCCTCCGCCTCGGGCGACGGTAAGAAAAAGGCCGAGCAGATCACGTTCCGCTTCTGTTCCGAATGCAGCAACATGCTGTACCCCAAGGAGGATGAGGCGCAGCGCAAGCTCATGTACACCTGCCGCACGTGCAACTACTCCGAGGAGGCCACCTCGTTTTGCGTCTACCGCAACGTTCTGAACAATGCCTCGGGCGAGACGGCGGGTGTGACACAGGATGTCGCCAGCGATCCTACGGTGGGTGGCTCTTTTGTTTCTTGTGCTGAGGAGGGTCTTGGACACCAGGGTTCTGGCGCAGCTGGCCTGTTGGTCTCATCGAGGCTGTCGAGTTCGCCACCGTCGTCACGGCCGTCGCATTCCTCATCCGCATCATTGGCCTGCGTCTCCTCCTGCTTTGGTTGCGGCCGCATCATTGTTTGCGAGACCTGTGGCGACCATTTTTTGATGCTCCTGGAAGACCAATGCCAACCTGACCTGGGCCTCGACGCACCTAGTGTCCACAGTTTCGATCGACACGCCGACCTGGATTACAGCAAACGTTACGTGGACCTCGACGACGTGGAAATTGCTCACTGGACCGGCGAGAGTCTGGATGAGCTGGGTGCGTTAATGGGTCGAATGGAGGATTTCTTCGGTTTCGGGATTTTGGATCTCGGCATGGACCTGAAAGCTGAGAGCATCTCCTTGCCGGTGTGGACGGCGTTGTGAACGCTCCTGCTCTGGCTCAGGGCTAAACTTCCAAAGGCTCATCACTGCTCACATGACTCAAAACGAACTGGACGACTCAAACGACGTACGACATGTACGACAGCTGTTCGACATACTCGATCTCATCGTTACTGCGTTATTACGACATGACTTGAATTGGCCTGTGGCGGAACCTGGTGTTTTGAGACCTGGCGGCCTCGGACAGAATTGGATGGCGATATCTGCTCAAAATGGATGTTGGCCAGCAAGCTGACCATTTTTTCTTTTTGCCCTAGCTGCCAAGAGCCAAACAAACTTGTCCGGCTTGCAACCACACGGAGTCTGTCTTCTTCCAGTCACAGCAGCGCAGCGCGGAAACGGGAATGGTGAGAACGTCCACTCAAAGCCTGGCAATCCCATGTTGCTAACCGCATCAGAAATTGTTCTATGTCTGCTGCAACAGCGACTGCGGCAACATCTTTCAATAGGGAGACTTTGCCATACCTTCAATCATCAAAGGCATGAACTGCCTTGCTCTCTCGCGCCCGCCGTGCTTGAAGAAGGTCAGGGCGATGCGAAAGAGCGTTCGCGAGCCCTCCTAGAAGAAACCTCCCAGACGCGCAGCACCGACTCGATGAGGAGGATGCACCGATGAAACAAAACATGAACCAAGCGGTCATGCAGAGAGTGGTGGCAAGGAGGCGGCTAGAACATGAAAGACGTCGGCACACGTTGGCGCTCAGCGACATGGAGGTCCGCGGTATGGATATCGGCTTCGGAGTGCGGCCCAGCGTTTTCAATAGGGTCCTTGCATGTATGCTACTCGACGCTGTCTCGGGCACTGGATGGAACGAGATCGTGGGAGATCAAAGTTTTCTCTATCGTAGGTTGTACAATAAAGTATACACGACGCGCCAACGCCGTTTTAATGCCAGCCTCTCTGGCAGTTGTGCTGCAAAGTATTTGTATCGTCGTACCCACGTCTGCCCCAACCGGCCGTCAGGATACTTCCGCCAGCCCAAGACCAACGTATACCTCCATCCATGCCCTGAATAACGTCCACCCGTTCTCCATTCGCCCAACCAACAAGAACTATGCCTGCATGGGCGCCATACTGAGAATTTTGCTCCACTTCTTCTTCCGCAGCTCCGACCCCACGACGCCGTTGATGCGTGAGCCGATCGGATCCCCAGCCTTGTTGATAAGGACGCAGGCATTGTCATCGAACCGGATCACGCTGCCGTCTCGGCGCTGCACCCTCTGCTTCGTCCGGACCACGATCGCGTGCCGGATGTCGCCGCGCTTGACCTTGGCGCCCGAGGACCCGGCCATGCCTTCGGCCTGGGCGCCGCGCTGTTTTTGGACCACTACCACTATCCTGTCGCCTGCGGTCGGTGACGAGCCGATTAACTCATGGGCTGGAAAAGTAGGAGGAGGAGTTGGTCGCGGACGGACCGGGGCTACGTACCGATGGAGGCGTGTCGCTTCTGGCCAACGATCTGGGCGCATTCGACGATGGCCGCGCCAGAGTTGTCGATGCAATTCAATATCGTCTGTTTTGTTCTTAGTTAGAAGAAGGAAAAACTTGCCTGACGAGCGGTACAAACCTTTAATTGGATCATCTTGGCTTATCCAGCTCTGACGCGGCGCCTGGCAGGAGAAGGAGTTGACCGTCCTCAAACCGGACGTTGAAGCCCACTTCGGCTCCTGGCCAATGCCGGAGCGGGAAAATTGTTCGCGGCTGGCGGGAGAAGGCTGCTGGATTATGTAACTAGGGCGGTGTATGCACCTTGATTAACTCGGAAGTGAGCACCGCTGCTTTCTTGGCGTTCTTCCAGATGTGGGTACAAGACATGACAGCCTGGCCAATGAGCTGATCAGCGCAATGCGGCTGTCGCATGCTTCATTCCCCCCAGGTCCGCCGGTGTTTAGCTCGCCTAGCCTCCCAATTTCCAGGGCAACAGCACTTGAACGAGACCACATGAATCTTTCTACTTTTGGCATTCAACTTTCCCACGTTGCACTTGGAGGTCACAACCGACCATCACCTCAACGCCGTCCTGCCCGACTTCGAACAGTTACGCACAAAGTACCGAGCGCGAACGCCGACCGATAAAGCAGATTGTTTAATAGTCTGGTTTCCATTGTTGCAGCGTACGACGTCAAATCCACCTCACCGTCGACCACCCGCTGTGAATCAGCTGCGATCTTGAACGGTTATCTCTCAAAAGGTGCCTACCTATTGGCACACCATCTGCAGCTGGAGAATTCGTGTGGGAGGCTGACTGCAGCTGTCCTCTGGAGCGGGATCAGCTGTTCAAGGCGGCTAGCAGCCGTAGGTCAGCGAAGTCTCAGCTTCGGCTTCGAGGCAACGACGCATTTCGCTCGCGCCCCGGGCCACCCCCCCCACCACATGAAGAGACGACCTGCGCAGTACCAGCGGACCAAGCATGGAGCGCTAGGGCTCATTTCTTCGCCGCGACATCACATTTTGCGTATCCGCGCCCTAACATAACCATTTACCGGCAGCGGTGGCCTCCCTCCAACCATCCGCTCTTCGCTCATTCACTTTTGCGCCCTTGTCTCGCTACCACCGATCCCCAGCAACATTCTGCGAGTCCCTACCCCTCACCATCTCACAATGCCTCGCACGGCGTCTTCGACCTCCAAGAAGCAACAGCTCACCTATGCTCAGCTCGCTGCCTATGATGACATTCTGACAGATGCGTTGATTGACCACGTAAGCTCGTTGAGACCGCGTTCCCAATTCTGTGAGCGCTAACCGTGAACAACAGGCGTATTACTGGACGACAATTCCGAAGAATCGCCCTGCGTATCACGCCTCGCGCGGCATCCGGGAGGAGGATATCGCCAAAGTCATACAGACTCATCTCATTGTTGCGCAGGACCTTGCGGCCGCCGAAGAAGCGCTGCTCGCTGTGGACGGCCTGAAGAAGTTCCACCGGTTCCTCAAGACGCCTAAGGAGAAGGACGACTTCAAGGCGCACCTGCGCCGGTACATGTGCATCTATCAACCTGACTGTCCCTTCGAGGTCAATGCGACAAACCGTTACACCATCTCATCCTACGAGGCGAGCATCACCGCGCGGCGTTTCATCAGGCGCAATGAGACGATCAAGTACCTGGCTGGAACCCAGGTGACGGTGACTCCAGAGGAGGAGGCGCAACTGGCTTTGCGCAAGAAGGACTTCAGTCTCGTCGTCAGCAGCAGGAGCAAGCTGACCAGTCTTTTCATGGGGCCCGCCCGATTCGCCAATCACGACTGCAATCCTAATGCCAGGCTCGTTACGCGCGGCCAAGCAGGGATTGAGGTTGTCGCATGCAGGGACATTGGACTCGGCGAGGAAATCACGGTCAGTTACAGCGACAGCTACTTTGGGGAGAACAACTGCGAATGTCTCTGCCAGACGTGCGAGAACAACCTGGAGAACGGCTGGAGGCCGGTGGATGGCGTCGTGCCGGTACAGACGAGCATCGAGGGAGGCGTGGCTGGTACACCCGATGGCTATTCGCTCCGTCGACGACGGGATCGAAGCGTTAGTGTCGCTGGATCTCGCACCTCGTCTGTCACGCCAGACATTCGCCCTCGCATTCTCCGGGGAAGCAGGAGCCAGACAAATTTGACAAATAGGGCGTCCACAACAGACTCGGTTGATGCCGATCAGGTAGGCATGACGACGCTCGCAAACAAACGGACGATGAATGCAGCGGGCCTGAGCTCCCCGCCAACCACACCGGCCAAGCGTCTGAAGAAGAATCACTACAATCTTTCTCCCATCGAATTGGAAGGAGTTTGGAGGTCCGGCTTGGAAACCGAAACCTCCAGCACCTCGTCGACATCTGAGGACGGGAAGGAAAGCGTCACAGATGCAACCTCCCCCGAAGACGAGAAGCCCGCGCTGCACATTCCATCCCCGGAGCTATCGCCGGTTAAGCAGAGCGTCGAGACACCCGACGCGCTGGACAAGGAGCGATTGCCGGACACATCCTCCTCCACCCAGGAGACGGCCGGCTCCCAAACAACCCTTCATGCAGGAGAGGAAGCCCTTCCTGGGATTTTACTTGACCATCCAGGTATCCTAGAACCGTTGTTGCCGGTCAACGACATCAGCACGACGGAAGCAGGGTCTGTGTCGATTTCCAAGGCTCAGCCAGGGTACGAAAAAATGACTGAGGTTGTGAAATCCGAGACCTTGCAAGATAATATTGGCGCCATGATTGGCGACATGACCTCGCAGCGACAAGAGATGGCCTCATCATCGAGCGACCCGCTCCACGGTTCTTTGGACGCTGAGGACGCGGTGGCAGTAGAAATGACCCGACAAAACCTCGATGAGAGGATCCGGCAGGATCAAAGCACGGCTGCCACGGCAGCTCCGATACCAGCGGCCGAGCCCAGCGAGGAGGCGGCGTCGGCCACTTCCTCCGCGATCCCCAATGCGAATTATCGAAAACGAGCCAAGCGCGGAGCCTTTATCCAACCCCTCCTTGCCCAGCCGGTGCGGAGACAGCGCATACCAGGCGACTACACCCTGACCCCCCTGCTGCTCTCGGAGCCGCAGACGGCCTGGGTCCACTGCACCAACTGCAGCACGGCCTTTGTGCAGAAGGACGCCTACTACACGCGGTCCAACTGCCCCCGGTGCGAGCGCCACTCCAAGCTGTACGGGTACGTCTGGCCCAAGACTGCGCCAGCGGGTAAGGACGACAAGGAGGAGCGGATTCTGGACCACAGGATTGTTAACCGCTTCCTCCACCCAGAGGACGAAGCCCGGGCGAGAGGACGGAAGCCATGGCGGGAGCGCTTGAGTCAGGGCTGTAGCGAGAACATGGAGCAGACACTGAGCTTGAATGGCGGGTCTGAGGGACTTCATCTCCGGGGTGACAGCCGAGGGAATGATGGTGACGGGATCGGCGCCCAAGCTGAGGCTGAGAACGCCGTCCTTGCTGGACTGCGCCGTAGTGGGCGGGCTCGGAGGGCGAGCGCGAGAGCTTTGGGAGACGATTGATTCCATGGGGTAGCGTCCGGTTTTTGACAGGAGAGGGGATTTCGGGGCGTAGGCTCGTCATATGTTACATATATACCTGTGTATCTTGTAGCTTTGGTGGTTGGGGGATCATTCACGAGTCGCAGCTGTCCGGGATAGACAGCTTGAGCGGCCGACCTCACTAAGCTATTGCCAAGGTAGCGCAACGTAATAAAATATAGTTTAATCGGTCTTAGATCTCTTGAAGGTGTCCTGCACTCGACTTGCATGACGCGCCTCTCGGTCCTCAGGATTTTCCTACTTCCGTACGTCCGTACGGATCCGTACTGTTGTCGCAACTGAACCCCTGAAGATCTCTGCCAAGCCGGCAAGGACGCAACGGCCAGTGGCCGAAGCTTCTTGCATGGGGCGCTTAGGTTCCTCAATTCTCAGGTATCAATCAGCCGGACGGGCAGCTAACCCGTCCACCTCCAGTGGCATGGTAACCACCAGATCCAAGCTCCCATCAAGAGCTTTCCTGTCCCAATTCCCTTGAAAACAGCATGTTTTGCACAGACAGAGATTCATTGCTCGGTTCCCCACCTTCTCTCAAATCGCTTTCTTTTCCAATGGCGCATTTCTGCAATTGAGGCCCATTTCCATTTCAGGTTTGTTTTTTCGGCACTCCCCGCTCGCGCTACCCGCGCAACCAATTCGATTTGTCTTCATGCGATCGCTGCAGCAGTCCTTTCACGTCGACCGCATACATTTTGTACCAATAGCCAACTGCGACACAATCTCGCGCAAACGGACCAAGTGGCCGACAGCTTCAAGGAGGAGATGATTGAGGATGCGCCGGCCGCCAGCACCTCGGCGGCGGCTGCCGCTGCCGACGACGTCGAGATGACCGAGAGCAGCGGCGCCGCTGTGGCTGCCGGCGAGTCCGAAAATCCCAACGGCTCCGAGCTCCCCTTTGCCGGGGGCGGCGAGAGCGACCCGGTCCCACCGCGCGTCGTCTTTGCGCAGTACCTCGCCAGTCCCGTCGTCACGCTCATCATTGGCACGGGCGAGAACGAGACCATCTTGACGGCGCATCAGGGCCTGTTGGTGCAGAGCCCGTACTTTGCCGAGGCTTGCGCTGAGTTTGCGGATGATGGGAGCGTATGTTTAACTGACCTTTCTTGTGTCAATTTGCTGAACTTGGGGCTGTGGTTGGTGGTAACTGTTGGCTGACTTTTCTTGGTTTTGCTTCAACAGCCCCGCCAAATCGAGCTGTCCGGCGAGGACATCGAGGCGATGGGGTGCTTCCTCGAGTTCCTCTACACGGGCGACTACTTCCCCAGGAAGGTGCCCGGGCAACGCACGCTCGAGAAGGACCCCTCGATCCCCGAGGTGGACATGACGGGCGAGCAGCTCCTCAAGCACGCTAAGGTCTACACCCTTGCGGAGAAGTTTGGCCTCACGCGCCTCAAGAACCTGGCGTCGAGCAAGATCCACTGCGTCAACTCGACCGCCAAGGGCGAGATCACCTACGCCCGTTACGTCTACCAGTACACCGCCAAGGATGACACGGCCATCCGCGTGCCCGTCGCGAACTTCTGGGCCACGCGCTCCCACACGCTGCGCTCCGAGGCCGAGGAGGAGTTCCGCAACCTGTGCTTGGAGTTCCCTCAGTTCGGCTACGACGTGCTCAGTATGTCTGCCTACTCCAGGACTCTGTCGTTCGTAGTTGCTAACCTTGTTTCCTTCCAGCTCGTGTCCTCGACGAGAAGCTCAAGCGCGAGCGCAACGAAAAATTGCACCCCGGCGCCCCCGGCAGCGCCCGCAAGCGGCCCAGGCACAGCAGCACGACTGCCTAGATCTCCTCGAGTTGATGCGACGACAAGGAGTTTGCGATACCCGCCCCAAACAAAACTTTTGGGACGTACCAATGATTTCGGGTTCTCTGGAGCCTCTGGGCGGGGATCGAAGCTCACGGTTTTCGCGCGGGACGGGCGCTCAGCCACCTGCGACGACGGCATTTGCCGCTCGTCAGGATGTACAATTGCTATGTTTTCGGGTCAGTATTTTCGTTATACCTCTTCTCGCGCCTTTTTTCTACGGTTGGGCGGCTGGTCCGGTGGCATCGGGTGGCCCTACTGGGTGGCGGATGGCTAGGGCGACTCTTTCGGGGTTGCGAGCGAGGCTTCCATAGTTCCTTGGCCTCTGTGCAGCCCGGGGACAGATATAATGGAGCAAGGCGGACGTTTCGTTAGTCTGGTAACGCACCCCTCCACATTGTGGCCTACTCACTGCCGCTTTGGGCTTGGCCGCAGAGCACCGTGGAACCTGCGAGTTTTCTTTTGGATGTGGGTGTAAATATCCAGGATACTGTACGAATACGATCAGGCGTTTCACGGTGAATTCTCTGATACGGGTATGTTGACCGCTCCGGCGTCGTATACTCCCGCACGTCAGTCGCTCTCAGACCTACCTTTTCAGCCTAGGAGTTGCGGCCCTGTTGATCTCATAGGACATAGGACGCGCTGATGCAGGGACAGCAGCCATGCCATGAATTGCTCAGTTATTGAGCGTACGGAACAGGGAACTTCCATCCTGGTTTCAAAAGGTTTCCTCTGGTGATTACTTCGGCACCCTTTTCACCTTTCACAACCCAATCCAAGGCTGGATTTTCCTCCTCCAGCACACGAACTTACACATGCTGATGAACCTCGTTGACAAACTAATGAATGTCCAATCCAACCTTGCACACCAACCACCCCCCTTGAGCTCATAGCAAAGCCACCCAGCTTCACCCCGCGCATGCCCATGACTCTCATCATCATGTTCATCCGGGCCAGAGCACGTTACCTTTACCAGCCACCCTTTCCTCTCGCGATTCTCCTCGTCTCAATCCGCCGCAATACTCAGGCCCCTCCTCAAGCGGCAGCGTCCTTGTCCTCCCGCAGTAGACGCACAGGCATGCAGGCTGATCGTACCCTGGTCGCAGCATTGCCGCTCACGGCTCGCCGGGCGCCCGTTGGGCGTACTCGAGCAGCATCCCGCGACAATACGGAGGAAACGATAATAATAGTGCTCCCGCAGTCCTGCCAAAAGGAGGGTGTATCCGATGACATTTGATCCTCCCCAGCGTTCGCGTCCGGCATCGTCTCCGAAATTCTCAGTTCAAGAGGATCGAGTGCCGGACCACTTCAAGTTGAGAACCTGGTTTGTTGTATTGGGCCGGGGAACTTGGGGTCCCAGATCCAATTTTTTCACCCTTCCCTTGTGGCAGGTTGGCAATGATCATGATTCGGGTAGCTTGATACCCAAACCGTGGAGCTGTCACAATTCCTTTGACGCCATCATCACTCGCTTACCCCCGGTTGGTATATATGACAAGGTAGCTGGCAGGTAACTTGTAAGAAAACCAATGATTCGGCAGAACAAAGTCCTGTCCTGTTCTTTGCCATGAGCCATCCTTTCTACTGCTTATCACTCAGTACAGCAACAACCGAGGAACAAAAATACATTGACTCCGTCCTTTCAACCCTTTCTAACCCATATTCGAGACTAAGACTTGTTGGAGAGAGACGAGTTTCAGCAAACTTTCCCATCCAGAAGGAACTAAAATCCATCACCTACCATCGGCAATTTCCTCAGCGCCGAGGCAAGAAGAGGGAAATTCTGGCCTCAATAGACGACAAATCCATTGGTATCGGCAGTCGCAATGAACACGGGACCCAAGTCCGCCTCCCAGTGTCTGACATAGTCATCTTGGGGCTGTTGTTTGTGTTGAGATGGTGATGAGAGCTGGAATGCTGAGGACAAGTGTAGTGGTCTTCTGAGCTCGCATTTATACCTCTTCAGAGATGTTGAGCCGCCGGGCCCGCCAGAATAGCACGACCAATATCGACTGCTTATATGGACATCATGAACACGGACACACGTAGGTGGCATTGAGACGCTACAAGCGACAGCCGTTTTCCATGTTTGTTCCCTCAAGCCATCTCCATTGTGTACCTTATGTGTGCCCTGGTCAGCTGGCGTTCTGTGGATGACAAACACATCCGTAGAAGAAAGCTTTCCAAGGCGCAAGGGTGAGTGGCTGAGCATCGGTGTAGAACTCACAACCCAGCCCTAGGGATAGTTTGTTTGCTACATGTACATAGCGTGTGTTTCAAGGTATGCATCAAATCATGTTACCATACGCTAGATCGTGAGGTCGTATCTACCAAAATTAGTCGTTTGAGCTTCAATCTCCATTCTTATTCCTTATCTTCTTTCTTCTTCTATCAATGCTCTCTACCTTACCTTTCTATTTTCCTCTGCCTCCTTTTCTTGATCTTTCCCTTGAAATCGCTTCTCGTATGCCCAACATCATTACTACCTGACCACCCAAGGTCCTGCCGTGTGCTACGCAAACAAACAAACCATGACTAGATAGTACACGATGACTGAAGAGAGTTTCAACAGTCAGTTTGCATCTCTAGATGGTGGAGTGTTGGTTGTCACCATTGTCCTCCCCTACCCACGTGTAATAATGTCCCAGCTGATGGGCACACAAGCGCTCAACTCTTAGCTAGACAGTGACACACTTTCGGCCTCGATATCAATGATATCAGATCGTGATTCAGATCCAGGAATGTACCATCCCTGGAAAGATGCCATGTTATTCCATTGTGGCTGTTGACGTCTCCTAAGGCCTGTGAATCCGCAAAGGAGCCTCAACCCTTTCCGCTGACATGAGTGGGATATCAAGCCCCATCAATCAGGTAAGCACTCAAAACGGACACAGCGACAAACCCGGCACTTTCCAAGGCTGGGTCAGCGGTGAAGTTTCAGAGCGGAGAACATGAACACACAGGGGGTGTAAAGGGGTGTGATATTGCCCAGTCATCTTGGCCGAGACTCTGTTCCTTTATTCTTATTTCCCCCTTCACAAGCACCCTTCATACATCCAACTTTGGCATGGAGGACACATAATCTAAGCTTCGTGGACCGCGAAACACCTTCAGCCTCCCTGTCCCACCTCTTGTTCCGGGTTCAGAGCAATAATACTTACCGCATACTCGCGTTATCCCGGTGCACCCGCTGACGTTCAGCCTCAACGTCCGCTCTAGGTTCCAGTAATGCCTGGTTCGTTGCATGTGTCCCTTGCATCCACTTCCGTGCTTCCATGATATGGCTGTGACGGGTTTAGCAGCATGTTAAGTTGCAGATGAGCCCAGCTGTTTCCGGCAGACATCATTCATCACCTGTCATGAGTGTGAAGCCAATCTGCATCAGTGCCCACGGAACCCAGCAAACCGTCGAAGCAACACCACAAACCGCTCCGTGGTACGAATGATCAGAACTTATCAAGACATGAATACAATTTCACTGCAGCACCAAAAAAATCGATTCATAACCATACAAAACCCACTTATAAGCCGTCCCAGCCGATAACTCATTTGTTGAGCAGAAAAATGAAAAGAAAAACAAATGGGAAAGCGATACTCCCATAACAGCTCGCACCACCCGCCCAAGCAGAAAACAACCACCCTCTAAACCTGCTTCAAGAACTCAAGGATCTTGTCCCTCTCCTCCACCGGCATCACGCGTAACATGTTGCGCACCCCCTTCCACGCCACCGCCTCCGTGGCATCCGCATTCTCCGCCGTGCCGGCACGCACCAGCTCCCGCATCTCCGCCTCAATGGCCTCCTTCTTGAGCGCATCAATCTTCTCCTGCACCCGTGCCCTGTTCTCCTCATACCACTTGGTCACTGCGCGGTCTTCCGTGGCGAAGTTGGGGATGCCACACCACGCTTCGAGAAGGTGGAGATGGTGGTTACGAGCCTCGACCGAGTCAGCCGAGGCCTTGCCGGCAACCGACGTCGCATTCTTCATGCGGCGCAGAATGTACTCCTCGTTAAGTCGCCTGCGCACGCGCCAGTAGAAGAAGCGGCGGGCCTCGCGCCACTCGAGAACCTCCCGGATGACACCCTTGGCCTTCATGCGCCCAGCGCGGTCGTGCAGGTCGGCAAACTGCAGGCTGATCTGGGCGTAGACGGGCAGGAGCCGCTGCTCCCGCTCCGCAATCTGCTTCTTGATGGTATCCGCCTCCTCCTTGGATAGACCCTGCTTGGCCATCTGCTTCTTAAGGTCGGAGTAGACGGGGTCGAGACGGGCCATCGTCTCAACCTGCTTGTCCTTACGGTACTTGATGCCCACAATACCCTCGGGCTCCAAGACACCACCACGTGCCTCGACATCTGCGTACATCTCCATGGCAGTCGGGTTGATGGTCGGGTCCACCACGACCCACGAGCCACCGCGGAGCTCGCCAAAGGGAGGGATGTAGATGAAGACGGGCTGCTCAAATTTGACCAGGGCATCGACGATGAAAGAGCCGTACTTGAGAACCTCGTTGTACATGTCGCGCTGACCGCCCGAGAAACCACGCCAGTTGGCAAGGATCATGAGCGGCAGCTGCTCGCCGTGATTAAAGTCATTGATGGCCTGAGCCGTCTTGAACGCCGAGTTGGGATACCAGACACCGCCGGCCTCATTGGCAACCTGCTCGATCGAGTCGGGGTTGGCGGGGTCGGCCGGCGTGACGTTCTCCACGGATCGAGTCTCGACTGCAATGACACCCATGGGAATACCGCCGAGGCGAGCGCGGCCGACCACGACAGTGCGAGCCCAGCCACCCAGTGTCTCGACGAACGAATCCTTGTCGAATAAGCCAGGCTGGAAGCTGCCGTCGTCTTCCTCCTTGCCGCCAATCATCCACCTCACGTCATAAGGCTGCTTCTGCGGCGGCGTATAAACGACATCACGATCCCAACTGTCCACGCAGGGCCGGATAGGAATCGGGTTGTTTCGCTTATCCGGGACGAATGACATCCACTCGACAATCTTGGAGATGCCCGCAAAGTCGTCGGTGGCGGTCAGGTGGGAGACGCCGTTGCGGTACATGATCTGGGTGCCGCCGAGCTGAAGGTTGGATGTGTACACCTCGCGACCGAGCAGGTTGTTGAGCGCAGGGGCACCCGTGAGGATGATTGGCTGACCCTCAATCTGAACAGCACGCTGGCCGAGACGCACAAGGTACGCACCGATACCTGGAAATAACGGTCAGTTTGGGGAATACAGAGACGTGGGATTTGATGGGGACGAAAGACTTACCCACTGAACGGCAGGTAACGAGCGTGCATGTGAAGATGTCGTTGTAAGCCCTGCTCGTGGCACCCGCAATCAAGCCGGAACCGCGCAAGCACTCGACACCCAAGCCATCTTCGGCACCGACAATGGTGACAATCTTGTGGCGCTTCTCGCCGTCTTCCGTGACTTCCTCGGTGATGACGGTGTTCTCAAATCGGGCCTTGGCCTCATCATTGAGGTACAAGTACTTGAATCCTGCCTCAGGCTTCTCAGGATCATTCCAAGCGACGTTGAAATGAGGCATCAGCTCGTTCGCGAGACCCAAACGGGCACCCGAGTTGGCCGAGAGATATATGCGCGGGATACCCAGCTTACGGGCCAGCTCGGTGCACTTGAAAAAATAGTGGTCCTCCTTCGGCCCGAACGAACCGATGCTGTACGTGATATCGTTGGCCACGACGAGAAACTTGCGGCCCTCGGGATACTCGGGTGTGCGAGCATTAATCAGCCAGCCAACCATACCACAGGTGTTGTTACCGGGCTCGCGGGACACCTCAGCGAGGTTATCGTGGTCGTCCAAGACGAGCTCGGTGAAGTCGATGCATTCACCAGTTGGCGGTTGCAAATCTGCCAGTTTCGGCTGAACCTTAATAGCATTGGCCCAGCTGTTCTGGATGGCCAGGCGGAACAGCTCAGGGAAGTCGTAGACATATTGTGTGCCCATAACGTGAGCCTTGTACCTCTTGGGCTGCAAGTGGTTCTTGGTCGGGTAGGCCGTCGAGACAGGCATCAGATGCATGCCGCCAATCTTGGTGGTCCCTCCAATAGAATGGAACACCCAGTCGCCCTTCTCGGACTTGCGCTCAGCGTACATCTCGACCTCGATGACATATCCCGATGTGTTCGTGATGATAACACGCAGGGGGTACGGCATGCCGGTTGTCGGATCCGTGCAGATGATGCGGATTTCGACCTGGGCGACGCGAAGTCGCCACCCACGAACGCCGAACCGGTCCAAGAAACCCTGTAGCGAGTGCTCAACTTCCTTGGGCTGGAGCTGGAAAACAGGAGTGAAGTTGAGGAACATGTGGTTGAGATCCGAATTGCTAGTCCCAATGATCTCGAGCGCGTCAAAGATGTCGTTGATAACACGATCAGCCTCCGAGATCAAGTACTCGGCAGTCGGGATTTCATCACGGAGTCTCCCTGGGCGAATAACGGCGCGCGTGAAGAACCGACGGTCACTCTCGACATCCTTGCCAATGCCCTCATAGACATGGATGTTCTTGTTCTCTGTGAATACGGGCTTGATCTTGAACTTCGAAAGACGGCCGAGCTCAAGCTGGAAGGCGAGGGAGGGTTCGATATGACGAATGCTGTCGTCCTCCTCGTACTCAGGTCCCCTGAAGGTGAAGTAGCCGGGGTACGAGCCGTCATTCCGACCACATATGAATGTGAGGCGACGGACCTTGTGTGCCTTGAGCTCCTCCTTGAATTGCTTGATCAATGGCATGATGTCCTTCAGCATCTCTTGGTCGCCGCGGCCCTCGGCGTCACGAATAGCAATGTTGACCACGGCAGACAATTCGTCGATGCCGCTGTCGGTACGGATAAGCGCGGTTGGCCGCCGCTTGTCGTTGAGCTCGGTCAGCATGCTGGTGCTCTTCTTACGGAGGTTCCCGGCCATCGGCAGCGACTCCAGAGCCCTCGACATCACCTCTTCGGCGTCTTCGAGGTACTTGCAGGGGACAATCACGCCTTTCCGTGTTGGCTCTTCCTGCGTCCTGTGGGACAAGTAGGACATGTCGCTGATGGAGCTGATGCGCCCGATGTGGCCCAGCGGGGTAGAGGGCGATGAAGGAGCACCAGATTGCACAGGGAACCCAAACTCGGACTGGCCAATCCTGCGCAGCGCAAAGTCCCAAGATACAAAGGAGGGCGCACCGGTCTCGTCGCGGTGGTACTCAATCTTCTTGAGGACGTAGGCACGGTATGCGCGACGAACGTACACCTCCAAAGCGGCCAAGGACACCCAAGGATCGTCATGGGCAAAGAATAGCGTCAGCACGTCGAAGACGGTGTACTTGGAATCGACGACCTCCTTGATCACGTCCAAGTTGGGCTCCCGGTGATCCCATCCGGTCTCGCCATACCGGGACTCAACAACAGACGAGCGAAGAATGTGCTCCATTTGGGCTTTCCTCTCGTCGAGAGAAGGAAGCGCGCATTGGATCAGAATCTCGCGGGCCTTGAGAGAGACTTTGGCCGTCTGCCGGGATTCGAGCTCGGCCAGCTTCCTGAGCACAGGCCGCAGGCACTTAGCGACATTACCGACGTTCGGTTTGTTGGGTCTGTACTCCTCGAGGATAGCCAGGACCAGGGAGTTCTTGGCAGCAACCCTACTGTGGGACAACACGGTCTGGACAACCTTTTGGATGTCGTCCTTGTTCTGGTCCCGAAGCTTCAAGATTACTTCCTCATCCTGCAGCCGCCGTCCGGAGAACAAGCGCTCGACATCCGCATACTGGGACAGCAAATCGCCGATGACCTTCAGCTCGTGCATCTTCTGCCCGTCGGCATACTGGTCCAGGATGGCAGTAAGCGGAGCAAGAGTGGCCTTCAACAGCTCGGCATCGGTTGGGGATGTAACGTTCTCGTCAAGGAACTTCTGGAACACCTTGATGAGGTTGCGGGCGGGGAACTCGGCATGCCTTTGAGAAGCACGTTCCAGAAGCTGAGTGAACTGGGCGTCAAGCTTTTGGGGCATGCGAGCGTGGAGAGCCGAGAACTGCGCCGAGAATTCGCTGTAGGGCAACTGGGGGTCACGAAGGACCTGAATCAGCTCCTTCAGAGCGTCGACCATGACGACCTGATTGTCAAAGCCCAGGAGGATGTTCCGGAGCGTGTTATATTGGAGTGAAAACCTCTGCGCAGGCTTGGTGCCCACAATGACGGGACTGCCGTATTCGGGCAGCTGGCCGACAAACGTTTGGGCCTGCTGGACACGGTTGGGATCGTCGAGAGCGAGGATGCCCAGAATGTCGCCAGCCTCCAGGGTAGCACCGGGTTGCTTGATGAGCTGTACTGTACCGTCCTCCTGCGCAATGAGAGGCATGTACATCTTCATGACCTCGACCTCGGCAAAGGTCTCACCAGACTTGATGTGGGCGCCGTTCTCCACGGTGTACTTGACGAGCTTGCCAGGGGAAGGCGTCCGCAACTGCGTGGGGTCATTTTCCTGCTCCAGCAGGCATGTCTTGCCATCGACTGAGAGCCGTGTGGCACCCACCTCCTCTTTCCAGTACACGTTGTGGCTGTGGCCGCTCAAAAGGACGAGAAGACCGCCGTCGCTGAGCGCACGCACACCGACAGTGCACTTGGACCCGTTGATGAAAAGGCGGTAGCTGTCGGTGCTGGAGCGCGTGACGGTGAACTTGTAGCGGAATCCCTCGTAGATGAAGTCGACAGGGAAGACGGTTTTGAGGATGTCCTTGGCGGGGACTTGACCCTTTTCCAACCCTGCGCGATACTCGGCGAGGCACTGTTCGCTAGAGATGTGCGCCTTGGTGACGGCACCGCAAACGACTGCGAGCATGGGATCGGGCCGCTCGGCAGTGAGCTTCTTGGATATGAGCTCATCGAGCCAGCCTGTGGTGATGGTGTTCTCCTCAAAGGCCTCGGTCTCCAGAAGCTTGATCAGGTACTCAACGGTCGTACGGAAATCGCCGCGAATGCTGAGCTCCTTGAGGGCGACGACCATGTGTTTCCTGGAGGCGGCGCGGTTCTCGCCGTAGGCGAAAATGTGGCCGAATTGGGAGTCCGAGAAGCTGTGGATGCCACCGGCCGAGCCGACCGAGAAGTAGCCCCAAACGTTCGAACTCGAACGGAAGTTCAGGTCATGCAGCACACCATTAGACGGCTTGAACCCCTGGCCCGGGTCTTCAGAAGTGATACGGCAGGCCGTGGTATGGCCCTTGGGCATTGGGCGTCTCTGGGTCTTCTCGCTCTCGGGGTTCTTGAACTCGAAGTCAATCTCCGTCGCCGTTTTCGGATCAACGCCGTAGAGAAGTCTTATATCCCGGATCCTGTGCAGCGGAATACCCATCGCAATCTGAAGCTGAGCAGCAGGGAGGTTAACACCGCTGACCATCTCGGTGGTCGGATGCTCAACTTGCAGACGAGGGTTCAGTTCCAAGAAATAAAACTTGTCGTCGGCATGAGAGTAGAGGTACTCGACCGTTCCTGCCGAAACGTAACCTACGAGTTTTCCGAGGCGAACCGCCGCCTCCTCCATGGCCTTGAAAGTGTCCGGCTTGGCGATTGTGACGGGAGCCTCCTCGATGATCTTCTGATGTCTCCGCTGAACCGAGCAGTCTCTGCCGAAAAGCGAAATGGCGTTTCCGTACTGGTCCGCCAGCAATTGAACCTCCAGATGCCTGGCGCTATCTGCCAACTTCATGACAAAGATGGGCGAGCCCGGGATCTCACTAGCCGCTGCCTTGTAGAGCTCCTCGAATTTGCTCTCGTCCACGACTTTTCTGATTCCCTTGCCGCCGCCACCTTCGGATGCCTTGATCATGACTGGGAAACCAATCTGCCGGGCCTTCTCAAGCCCCTCTTGCCAAGATTCCACGCAGCCTTGTTTGTAGACCTCGTCGGTGACAGTCACAATGCCCTTTTCGTCGACGCTGACCTCCTTCACGCCTGTACCAGACCATGGGATGCATGGCACGTCGGCGTGTTGGGCGACGATCGTGGAAGAAATCTTGTCACCCAGAGACCGCATAGCAGAGCCGGGAGGGCCGATGAAGACGATTTTCTTGGGTGAGGCTGCGAGGGATTCGGGAAGCTTTGGGTTCTCGGATGCATGACCCCTGTTACCAATGTCAATTGTCAAGCTATGGTACCGCGGGCTGTCGCGACTCACCATCCTGCCCATACGGCATGGACATCCATGCGCTCCGCGATGTCAACAATCAGCTCCACGTTGGCGTAGTTGTGGTTGTTAGTGCCGCCGGGGACCTCGACGTAGTGGTCCGCCATGCGAATGTAGTCGGCATTCGCTTGAAGATCATCGGGCGTGGCCATCACGGTAAACTTGATTGCCCGCTCGTCGCCGAAGGTCTCGTACGCCCACTTCCGTACCGACCGGATCTCTTTGACGGCGGCAATACCATTGTTGGCAATCAGGACCTGCAGGAGACAGGAATGGTTAGCGAGAAAGCCGGAAAAAAGGCCAGAGCCCGTTGCCACTCACGTTGGTGATGACCGTGTGGCCGCCATGGCTTGCCACGAAGTCCTTCACTTTGGACGGAGGCGCATTGTCCAGCTTGTTGCCCCCAATGAAGTGGGCGGGCAGCCCGTTCTGTTCGGCATAGGTGGCACTACCGTTAGTATGGGGCACAACGAGACCGTTAACGCCATTTGGCGCGCCGTGGCCGTCCTGGTCGCCCATTGCTGCTCCCGGGAATGGTATTGGAATTTGGGAGTGGAAAAAGCCCTGAGTTCTACCACTTTGTTCGAACCTCGAGGGTGGGTATCAGGCTTGCGGCAAGCTTAGGGTTCGGTCGGGTCTCAATCGACTTGGGAAACCAGCAAGACACTGGATGCCAAAGCTGACTGTATGTCACGCGGCACGTCAGCACCTCGTAGCACTCGACAATTCGGGCTGGGAGGGTTGCATCGAACCTCAAGGCGCAGCCGGTATTTCTCCAAACAAGAATGCTTTCCGCGATAGTCGGATATGAAGGGCAAGGTGGTCAATGGCCACTCAACTTGGCAAGGGATGCAAGAGTCGACGCGTATTAAGACGGGATAGGGGGAGCTCGTTGAAATGCAGCGTACAAGAAGCGAAGGTCGGTCTCGTGCCCCGTGGTTGCCACGAAAGGAGGTTTGGATCAGCGGAAGGAATGGGAAGAGCATACAGCTCAGGAAGGAAGGGGGACTCGGGTAGATGTATGGCAATCTGGAGTTTCTGGTGGGAATCTGAACTTCGGATGGACCAGGGTCACGGACCAAAAAAAAAGTGACAGTGCGCTCCCGGTCGCCCACTGTCCTCTTAGTAGGTACCTTGGTAGACACCCCGCCCTTGGCCTCTTGTTTTCCTGAACCCCCAGACTCAAATGCACCATCGGAACGCTCTTCTCGACGGCATGAAGACGCTGGTCAACAGTCCTGTTCTTTTGCCAGAAAGTTCCAGGTTGCGGGGAGTTCGCCGGCGAAGGGCTGCAGTGCGACTCGAGGTTGTCAGCCTGCAGGTGAAGCTGCAGGTAAGGTAAGCTTCCATTCGACTGTTATCTGTGCGTGTCAGGACCTGATCTCCAGCTCGTGGAATCGATGTAGCACCGCACGCCGAGGTTCGGATCATTCAATCTGGGAACGTCATCACTCTGGACTGGCCACGAGTTCTCGCTCGAAGGCAGAGGCAACCGTGCTTTACAACACTTCTCCCTTGTTCCATCGATATAGTACTGGATAGTCTGAAGTGAGCGGGAGGGCTGTGCCAAGGTCGGCGGTCCGGCACCACCATTCGGCGTCCGAATTGGGGTGGAATGGTACGGAAACCTGCCGGGGCATTTCCCGGCTCGTCTCTGCTCTCGATTCCATCATGTCTCGGAAAGACCTCTCTCCTCCCATTGTGTCACCGATCCAAGCAGCTCAGATTGGAGTACTTGCAGGTACCTACCATGGGGTGGGGCATTGCACAGGACGGCGGCCCTCTCAACAACCGAAATCCGACATGATTCAACCATTTCCCTTGGCTGCCCTGGGCAGAAGATCAGCCAAGTGGGCCCTCGTGCGCCTGGGAAAAAGCTCCGACAAAGGATACTTAACGTTAGCACATTGGAATGTCTGGCTTTACAAGATGATTCAAGTCAATGAGTTCAAGGAGGCCTTGCTACTCACCGAGATAGCTGTCAATGTCCGCGACAAAACGAGTGAAGAGTGGACCTTGACATCGACAATTCTGCACTGTTGAGCAGACAACTTCCAGGTTGTTTCGAGATCCCCAACAGTTGAAGGTCTCCACCGGGCGGGTCGACACCCCAGTTCCGATCGTTTGACGTGACAGGGGCCGGACTTTTGGACATCCCCAAAATTTCGTCCGCGTTCTATGTCAAACAATCCCGTTCGGGCCAAGGGCGACGAATTTTTCGCGGTGTCGGTCTTTGGGCTTTGCATTGGAGCATCACTAGTCCGTACTGTAGACGTTCCCTTCCATGTGGGGCTCAGAGCGGCGAACCATTGAAGGGAGGTTTAACCAAAACGAGCGGCAGTCAACCAGCCGCCTCTTACTCGTGCACAGCAACGGCGGCTCAACACTATGAACAGGTGCTCCTTCCCGCAAAGTCAAGCGATACGAATAGTCTCACAGACGCTGGCGTAGTATTGGGAGGAAAGCATTCCTGTAAGAGGGCACTGCGGTCCTGTTCCTAGAGTTGTTGAACCGCCCTGCGCATTTGACCCTGCTCCTGAGGACTTGTAAAGGCCCTAGTAAGCGGCCTTCGAAGATGGAAGCCGGCGACAACACCATGGAAATCATCGCCACTACTTTAAACAGCATGTGAAATAACTTCAATTCATTTGATACCTCCGCTCTCCTCGGGATATCCTCTGTTCAAGCTGCTCAAAAATCGACTTAGAGGTGGTAAACCGACCTGTTAGCCAATATCGCAGTGTTGGGGATTTACTCTGGCCTAAGCCCCACATGACAAGGAAGGAAGGGCTTAAAATCGTGATGCTCTTTGCATTGGTGCGGCCGATTTCCTTTGGTCGAGCTCCAGTTTCTTGATCATGGAAATTGATCCGTGCAACAGTAACAACTGTGCGGTAGCCGGCGATTGGGTATGTGGCTCAGATGAGTAGTGACGGTGACTGAGTGTGGATCATCAGGGCTGACGACAGGCTCCCTCTGTCCGAGTCGAATGTCTTCATCGGCCGCCCGCGGGCTCCGTGACAGACCGACAAAGACAATGGGTCGAGCACTGTCTGGAGGATGCCGAGTCCAGCGCAACATCAGCGCAGTAATGCGTCTCTGTGCATCTGACGATATCTGATCCGTGTGATGTCGGCCATTGGGAAGGCGCGGCAGCATTGTGCCCCGTCCCGCTCCGGCCATACACAGGGAAGTTGCGCCGCATCGCCTTTTCGGGCAGAGGCTCGTGTTGGGAGTTGGATCTCTTGAAGCAGGGCAAAGCTAACCATAAATCCCGTCCTTCCAAGGTTTTACAACAAGGTAATCAGGCCTGGGAACAAGACGGGCGTCTTCAGAGCGGCGTCTTCGAGGGCTCATTATCCCTCGCGAGGACGCTGGTGGCACTTGTGTGTTCTTGATCACTCGGAAGGGTCCCCTCTGCCAGATCCGCCCTCTTTATGCCCCGTGTCAGCAACCCAACCCATAATTGCACCCCACCCTCAACCCGACTCGGCAGACAACGGCACAAGATCGATCTCAGCCGGCTGTCGTTCCCCAGATGACACCGCAGCCAAGCTGACCCAACCGGACGGGTAACTGCCCCACCACGCGCCTGACATCAAAATCGTACGATAGCCCACATGGCACGCGAGGAGCACCGGTCCAGCCCGTCCAGTCACCGTTTACCGCTTCAGCCCTACAGTGACCCTTCCCAGCACAGTGTCCGAGAAAGCGAGGAAGACGTTTCGGCGGTGACCCGAGAGGCATGCAGGATCTTACAGCGTGACGTGGTATTGCACTTGAAGGAATCGCGCTAGAAGCCGTCAAATTGTACGTCCATCGATAGGTAGCCGATATCAACTGCAGAAAGAGAGATTTGGGGGTGCTTGCGTCTGTATGTATACTGCCAGACTCGGTAGATCTCGTCTACGTGCGTTGTCCTAAAAACTGACTCAGCATATTCGAACACGTTCAAGCGAATTGAATCCTGAACAACGACAACACAACCTGTGACAGCAAGTTCTATATACAGGTTGATGTGAGGGAGTCATGGGGGTGGGTATCACTCTTGACTAACTGGAACACTCTCAAGCTCCATGAATGTGAGAACCCGAAAAATACATGGCACACCCTAACAGAGAAGCCATAAGAGACGCTTGAAGCCGTAAGATACGCTTGAAGCCGTAAGATACGCTTGAAGCCATAAGAGACACCTGAAGCCATTAGGGGCACTTGCTTCTGTCCTTTCAGCAGCCAATCCCGCCAATACAATGCAGCACACATCACTCCAACGTCGGACAGCGTGCCGCACGGCAGATAGGAGCACAAGGTATAACAAAGGAAATGAATATGCCTATCAGTAAGGTATTCCCGTCTCAACACCCAAACCCGCCCAAGCCAAGCCAAGCGAGGTATCCGCGCAACAGCAACTCAAAGACAACACTGCAAAACCCTCAACCCAACCCCCAGTCAGCGCACGACCAAGAGACAAAGGAGACCCTCCCTTCCCACCCCTGCTGTAGGCCTAGTTATCCATGTCCGATTCACCAAGTTACCCACCCTCAACTACCAATACCAGGTAGCGTGATCAATACGTCTCCCCCAGATCTTCCAACACCCTCGCCGACGTACTCGCCCCACTAATCCTCCTACCAGTTCCGCCACTCTGCCTCCTCGAGCTGGGCACAGGAATCCCACTGTGCGCGCCCGTCGGCAGAGGCGGAATCCCCCCACTCGTAGCAGCCTCCAGTTCCAGACGGCTGTACGTCCCCCGCCTACTAGGCGTGCGCAACTCGCCGACGCCGTCCATAGAGATGGCAAACTCGTCCGTCTCGGCGGTGCTGTAGCTGACGCTGCCGCTGTGGCCGTGGCCGCCGTGCATGCCGAGGCTGCTGCGCGGCCTGCCGAGCGGGGTACGGGTGCCTGACAGGCTGGCGCGGCTCATAGGTCGTGGGGGCGGCATAATGCTGCTTGTGTCACGGTGGGACTCGGTACGGCTCGCGGGGCGGGCGTAGCTCGAGACGCTAGCTCGGCTGCTCGGGCGGGAGTAGTCCGGGTCGGTGCTGTGCGGGGTCGAGGATGTGGCGTTGATGTTGGAGCCTGTGGGGTTGCGGTTGGGCAGCGGGCCGAAGGACAGGCGCGAGACGCCGGACGTACTAAGTCGCGGGACGTGCTTGTTCGCGCTGGAGGAGATGCTGCTGCGGGAGTCGGACGGCGCGTGGCGTGGCTGGGAGGGAGTCATTTCAGAACCGGCGAGGCTGGCGGCGCTGGATGAGGCTGTTGAGCCGACGCCGCGCTTGCGGCTACGAATGGTGACGGTGGATGGGACGATAGCACCTCGTGGGGATGACCGGGGTGGTGTATTGGCGGGTCCTGGCAGCTTAGACCGAGCAGACTGCACCCGCGCCTCTAGCCGTTGCATTTGGGCGGTGAGTGTCCGGATGTGAGTGAGCGAGTTGGAGGGCGGTATTCTGTTAACTGGGGGACGGGCAGATCTTGCAGCTGAAGACCTGTGGGCGGGTGTTCGCATCGCACCCGAACCCGAGTTAGTTACGACGCGAGTCGCACGGGAAGACGATGTAGACGCCGTGAATGCCCTGGGCTTCGGTGTGATACTGTTTTCGGCGGACGGAAGTCGGCTTTTTCTCTGCGGAGCCGGTGTCTTGAGCCCGCCCAATCTAGGCAGAGGCATCGACGCATCGGACATGGGAGGCGAGGGCGGATCGTGGATCTCTGAGGCTGTGTCTGCTGTGGACAGCAACTTCAGATCCGGGGGAGTCATGATCATCGGGGAGCTCGCCGTCGAGTGCGGCGAGTTGCAAAAAGACGGAGATCCCGGAATCGAAGAAACGTCCGTCGAGATGCTCGAGAGGTGGCGCGACTCCTGCTTCTTGATTTTGTCTTGCAGAATCTCGGCTTCGATCTTTAGATCGGCCAGCTCTTCCCGGAGTCTTTGCGTCTCGACTCGTAGTTTCTCTCGTTCCTGCTCCCCAATCTTGATTTCCTCCTCCAGCATGACGGCTCTTTCTATCGCGACGTTGTACTTGGACTCGAGGTCTTCCAGGGACGAGGTGGTAGTTCGTGCCTGGCGCTCGAAGTCATCGTTGGCCACTTCGATGTCGCGCAATCTCAGCTGCAGGGTCCTGTTCGCGTCGCGGAGGCCCGTAATCTCTTTCTCGAGGATATTCTGCGCTGCGTTGGCCTCTGCCTTGGCCTCCTTGTATTTCTTCTGCAGGGATGGGTTAGCGGGCGATCCGACAACGAGGAGGGGGAATGGCACACCTTCCACTCCTCCACCTCATATTTGAAATCCTCTGCCTTCTGTCGCAATGCCCGTTCCCGCTTGTCTGCCGCTTCTAGATCCTTTTCGAGTTCGGCCTCAAGTTCCTTGCTCGAGGCCTGGAACTCGGACAACTCCGATTCCAGCACCTCATACTGCGACTTGTACCATGCCAGGGCATCCTCCACGCTGGCTCCTTCTCTAGGGGGTGACGAGGGCGGCTCGGACATTTGGCTTGTTTACGCAGCGCCGTGCTGGTCCGCGCGATTTCGCATGTGTCAAAGGAATTCAGGAAACGGTATGAAAGAGCGTTGCGAAGTCGGTGTCGACAGAAAACAAAAGAGACGTTGATCGTCGATGTCGTCGGAGGGATGTGGTCTGATGCTAATGCCGAGATGACGGTGTGTTGTCGTCTGCACGCAGCCACTGCGAGACTGGCAAGTGTTGGGTCAACAACCTCCGCCTTTCGTTGCGACCGGGAGTCAACACATACTCAACCGAGTGGCGTCGTCGGATTTGGGTACCAAAAGTGCCAAAAGCCTGTCCCGTGATGTCGCAAATATCCGCTTTGTCACAATTCGTAGCGCGCGACTCTGTTACTTACCTGTTGCGCGGCTGGGTGTCGTACTTGTCGATGCGGCGTCGTCGTTGTCTGAGGTAGGAGGATCCCCTTTCAGGCGGAGGCTGTTTTGCTTGGCGTCGGTTGTCACCTCCTTGCCGCCGCATGGCCCCAGCAACCGTGCACAAAAGGGTGGGGCAAGTCTTGGCAGACCTCCAGGGTCTCGCTGATGAAAGTCATGCCCACTCATCATGCATCTGGTTTCACACTTTCATCCCATCTCCAATGTTCAAGTTCAGGCTGCAGGCTGCGATTGAGAAAAAGACAAGATGCCTACATGTGTTGTCTCGGTTGGGATATACAGACATGGCCTCGAGCTCAACAATTTAGCTGTATAGATACCTTTAAATCATCTAGGACTGTGAAACAAAGACAACAGGGACTCAGCGTTTTACAAATAGGTATGTAGTTACGAAAATACGGATAAACCTGGAAGTTACCAAAGCGGTAACGCCCCGGTTCAGCAAGTAACAGACCCACACCGTTCCTGGCGTGGATGGATGGATGGATATTTATTCCGCCCCGGAGGCGCTAAGCCTAAGGGCCATGTTGCTAGTTACATAATTCCTCCCTGTGATTCTGCCTTGATCTCGTACAAGCCCTGAAAGTTGTCATTCCTGAAGCAATAATCCTCAAACCAGATGTGACTTCATCGTCGAGAGCTCGTGGTTAGTTGACAAATTGCAGGCGCGCTTGAAGGCTATGTTCTCCAAGTGTTTAGCGTCCTATCTTCAACAGCTAAAGCGGGTCCTGCGGTTAGTGCCACGAGGGTAGCTTGGGGTTTAAGAGGAAGGAGAGAAGAGTTAGTGGTCTCAACTGTCAAGTCGAGAGAGTACGTCCTACTTCTGGCTAGTAGGATTGAGCTTTTGGCAGTTTCGACTGAAAGATTCGTGTGGTCCTCCGCAGAGAACGCACTTCATAATCGTTTCCTTGCACCCGCTGTGGTGATGGCCTTGCTTGGCACATTTTGCACACACCTGGGCTTTCTTGCAGTTGAAGGCTTTGTGTCCGATTTCCTGGCAGTTGTAGCACTGCTCCGGGCGCACCCGGCGTTCAAACACCTGTGTGTATCCAGATTCTCCCCCAGCGTGGAAGAAACCCTCATTCAACAATCTCCATGCATCGCTCCCTTTGGTGACATAAACCACCATCGATCCATAGGCTTTCGCTGTGTCTTTCCTGCTCAGCCAGGCAATCTTCGCCACTGTGGTTTCGTTCTCTTGACTGAATGCCTCCGCAGCTCCAGTTCGGATGTTGCCTTCGTTGTCCAGAACCACCGAGCGGTTGACATTGTCGACCTTGATCGGGTAAAGCTCATCCCGTAGCACTCGGGTACCTGGTGCCATCTTTCTCTCTGCAACCTGCTTGACCATTCTGAGTTCGGCCTCGTCCCTGCAGGCAATCCTAATTCGGTTTGGGTTCTTTGGGTCTTTGGTTACTGCGCAACATCGCCAATTGACGCGGTCTTCCATTCCTCGGATTTCTCTCTCCACGATGGTCCTAATTGCCCCCGCCGAGGTCTTATCACCTTCTCCGCTCTCTACTCTGGAAGTGTCGATCGTGCAGAACAGCGAGTCGGTCATAGTCGACGGAGTGGTTTCCACAGACGATATTGAGTTCAGGTTCGCTGGGGAGCTATTCGGTGGGGTTCTCGCAACATTCGCGTACGACGGATTTGGGCTTGTCGAGATGGTCGTTGTAGTGAGGGCCAGGTTGATCGAAATATCGTTCAGTTGCGCGTAGACTTGCTTCAACTCCTCGGCGACCTGATTCTGCTCCTCGGCCACGCAATTCTTGACGTCGTTGAGTTCTGTTTTCACGGTGACCAGCTCTGCTTTTACAGAGACTAGTTCAGTGCTGAGTCTGGCTATCATGTCGGTTTGCTGTTGGATGACGATTTTCAGCTCCTCGATGGTTCGACGCGCGTTGCTAGCCTCAGCCAACAGCCTCTGCGCGACGCTGGATCTCCCATCCAGGGTGGGTGCACTATCGGGTCGCGCGGCCGCACTCGACGTATTCTTGGCCGTTTTTGCCCTGTTTTCGAGGGATATCAACGTTTCTCGAACTTTGGCCGACGGTTTAGGGAGCGCAGCGGTCGGCGTCTCGGCTCCGGCGAGTTCAGCGCGTCGCGGGTGTCTTCGGTGATCGCGTTTGACACCATCTTGGGGGCTTCAGGGACGCGGCGGGCCCCGGCGGGGTGCCTTCCTCTCGAAGTTGATCGATGCGTCTTGACTCTCAGAACAAGCGGAAGGTATTTCGGCGGTTCCCGTTCCTGGCGTTCCAGGGCTCAGAGTTGTGATTCAACAACCTGAGACGTGACAAATCTTCAATTCGCCGGAAATTTTCGAATATTCAGGGCAATGCAGCATCGTTGTTCTGGCTCTGACAGCAGTACAGCACCATGTCCCAGTTTCGCACCCTCCCCAGCGAGGTCCGTCGAGTTGATGATGCAGACACTCTGCCGCAGCTGCAGCGGGCTCACGGCCGAGGACCGGTGCTGCTGCTCCGGCGAACACTGCACATGCTACGACACAGATCCCCAGAATGGGCTTGTGGAATCGCCGTCGCGAGGCTTTGCCTGACGTCGCGCTGGCTTAACAGCGTCGCGATATGGCACCTCTATCAAGAGCCTCCCAGCTGGAGCGACGAAAAGCTCGTTAACACCCTCGTAGCTCGTAGGCACCTCGCCCAGCATGTCGGACTCCCGCATATCAACGGAGAGGAAGCCAAATTCTTCGATGCCCGCAAGCTCACCTTCGAGGCACTGCACACTTCGAACGCAGTTCGGAGCTTATTTCGATGCGATGCCAGTCACTGAAGAGCGGGCGGATGAGGCTCAGCATTTGCCTATGCCCGTGAGCAAGATTTTTAACCTTCCCAAGGAGGAAGAAGACCGCCTCAACGTCTTAGTCGACATCATGGCCAGCCTCTGTCCCAACCTTGAAACCCTCCATACCGACGTCGGCGACCCGCTCCGCGTAGCATTTCGGCTCTGCATGCCAGGCTCGATGCTGCGCCTACGGACCATCGACATGAGATGCGACGACTACGCAAAAAGCGGTGTTGTAATGAGAATGAAATACTTGGCCCGTCTCTTCCGCGCCGCGCCAAACATTGCCGACACGACCCTCCACATCTGGTGCTCGACAGCCTTGACCGCCCGGATCTGGGCCTGACGCTCGACAAGGTCACCTCTCTAGACTTCCGGAATAGCGTCCTCCGCGTCAGTGATTTGGTCATCTTTCTCTCCGTGTGCCCCAACCTGGAGGCGTTCAAGTACGAGGCGGGCTAGACCGAGATAGGGTTGGGAGCGCGCACACTTTAGCTTGTCTCAGGCAAAGGATGCGTTCCTCACCCTGGCGCGCCCAAGCTGAAGTTCTTGAGCATTGCCCTCAAAAGGTATCATGCGTATCTACTTGGGGCCGAATGGGATGATGGCGACGGCGCTAAAGACAAAGTTGATTAGGACCATGATTATCTACGCCTTTGGGTTGAGGGAAGCGCTGGCGCAGCGCGGAATCGTCTTTGAGTACCATATCAACACAGACAATCCCCAGATCCACATCAAGTGAAAATTCACGATTGGCCGCCCTGCCCTGAAACCACGACCTTTTCTGAAGGCACAATTTTCGTCTGCGTATTGACAGGCGAGCACGATATTGTCCATGAAAGCGACATGAGCAGGCGACGGCGTTCCGAGGCTCTAAGGGTTGCGGCAAACTTGGAAAGAGGAGGGGGAAGCAAGAGATGCCGCCTCTTACAACAAGAGGATTGTGGCGGTAATTATTGTGAGTGGAGAGGAAGGGTGCTGCCTTTCTATACGTCAGATAAGCCTAGGCTTGTGGCACCACTCGTATATTGCTCATCTGGAAGCGAGGAAACAACATATTGGGATATCTGGTGGCCAACCCGGCGCAGCTTAACACAGATCAGACCAACCCTCATCCTCAAGCCAAGACAGCCAGCCCATCGCCAACGACGCTGTCGCAGTAAGGTATCACAACCCATACTTGGCCGCCTGTGTCGCTGCAAAGTGCATCCCCGCCGCAAAGTGGAACAGTTTCGCCGCCACCACCGTCCTCTCCTTCTGGCTGTAGTCCACCAACCTGTCATACAACTCCGCCAACGGCACCACCACCCGCTGGATATGCTCCCCATCCTCGAGCCTCTGCTCCGGCAACTCTTCCTCCTCCCCCAGCCTCACCTCCACCATCACCATCTTCATATTCGCGCTACTCAGCCCCGGATCGGCTGCCTGCACGGGACTGACGCTAACCACCTCGCACTCGTACCCCGTCTCCTCCTTGAACTCCCGCACAGCCGCCTGCTCCGCCGTCTCCCCCTCATCGATCAGACCCGCGGGCCACTCGACCGTGTAGGCATCGAGTGGTGGTCGGTACTGGATGACGAGTAGTGTCGAGGCCGGGCGGGAGGGGTGAAGGAGGATGTTGCCCATGGCGACGGCGTCGACGCCAGCGGATTTGGCGCGGGTTTTCCGCGAGGCAACTTCCCATGTGCGCTCCTTGCCCGTCTGGTCGAGGTATGATATTTTCTGGAGGGTGATCCATTTCGCTTCGGAGGTGGGGAGGTTGGTGACCGAGGTGATGACGGGTTCTTGGGTTCTGGTCATTCTGCCGGTGGTGGGGTGAATGCGAAGGTGAGGCTGCGGTTGGGCTGGGTGGTGGGATAAGATCCTGGTTGTGGTTGAGAACGAGAGTAAAGGTGAGAATGAGGGGCAATGGCGGCGGGCGATATGCAGGAGTCGCGGCTGCTCAAATCCGGCGGGGCAGGAGAGGTGGAGACGCCGCATGTGTGACTGGTGACAAGCTACTACCAGCGTCTGTTTGTTGAACCGTCAGCCCAGCGAAAGAGAATAAAGGTGAGGGAAGGGGACAACAATGACTCAAAAAGGCACAGTCGAAGAGGCAGAAGCAGCCGACCAGCTCAGTTTGGAACTCAAGCCTGACCATGGGATGGCCAGATGACATCATGCCTTCATCGCGTTAGGGTTATTGCAGCCCAGGCTCACAAGGACTTGGGAAGAGGTTTTCGTTGAGATTGAAATTCTCAGAAAGTATGATCTTTTAGTCCTTCACAGTGCCATTTTTGAACATGGCATAATGTCTCAACACCAACCAAGTGTCATGACATAACCAAGCGGTCGCATCCAGTTTCTCCAGCACCACAATGCTGAAGTGTCCAGGTGCTCAAAAGTAGCTCTGATCAATGATGGCCGGACCAGGAATCTTGTACTCCTTGAAGGAGCTGCCCCAGATATCGATGAGGATTCCAGGATCGGAGGCGCTGTACGCTCCCGGGATCTTGACTCCTGCGGGCAGTTGGCCGCGACTGCCGCCGGAAACCCTGACTTGCTGGTTCAGGAACACATATGGTTAGCTTTCATGGGAGCGTACCTCAAAAGTAGCCATGTTTCCAGCGCCTGGTTGAGAACGGAAACAGGGGACTGCAAACTCACATAGCAGCTCATGTAAAACTGCGCCCCTCCGCTCTGGCCCGCCGTGTGCAGCGCAATCGCCTCGGCGCGGACAAGGTAATCGCCCGCGGGGATCTTGCTGGGAATCTTGAACGACCGCTTGCCGCAGTTGGCGTTGAGCTGGTCGGTGCCCCATTTCTTGGAGCTGGCGTCGTAGCCGAACTCGTCCACCTTGAACCAGGAGCCGGCCGACCCGTCGGCGCTGGTGACGTCGGACACCTTGCTCATGTACACCATGACGGGGCCGAAGTGGTTGCCGCCGATGGCCTCGTGGGCGCAGGACCGGTCGCCGGGTTGCGCGTGCATCTCGACCGTAAACTCGTCACCGGCTGGTCAGGGGTGAAACTTGTTAGTAAGGGAAACGGACATCCAGCGGTGAACGTACCCTTAACCTCGCAGATGCCAGACAACCCCTTGGAGCCACCAACGTTGCAAGCCATATCCTTGCTCGACACGCTGGTGACGGGCGAGTTGTTAGGCTGAAGTCGTCAGTTAACCGAAGATAGAGCTTATGGAGCTCAGTGGCAACACTCACTGGCATCCGAACGCAGGTTGACCCAAAGTCTTTCGAACCGCTGCTCGCTTGCTGAAAAATGGAGTGGCCAGCGGCCAAAACGGCCATCTGAACAAAGATGCCAGCGGCAATGAGGGCCGAGTTGGAGTTCTTCATCTCGGCCAAAGTCTTGAGCGTTGAACAGGGGTGTGATTGCTGAGGTTGAAACGAAGGGTTGATGGAATAACTCCTGTCTGGACTACGTGAACGAGACTGTTCCCTGCCGTTTCTGTGAGATGGAATTATCAGTGCCATGGAGAGCTCTAGTTATACTCGGATTTGACTGTACCTTCGCATCTATCCTTCTGACTTCGGTCCTAGGTCTCCCGTCTATCCCAACCATATACCTGCAACCATGTACAAAGATGGATTCAGCGAGGCCATGCTTGTACGGCTATATTGGATCGACAGGTGCAAAGGCCCGCAATCTCTATTCCTTCCTCCGGCGTGTCGCGCGGTCCAGTAACGATCGACAACCACGCGGCACAGATCAGGACGTAGTTGACCGTGAGTTGTCTATGTGAATCAAAATTGGGTCCGTCATGCTCAATGCGACCGGGAAGCACGGTTCCGTTTCCCTAAGTTGCGTCGATCCTCTCGGAAGCGCTCTCCCTGCCGAGCATCGGTTACACCTGCGTCGGTATTTATCCAGGCGATATGGGGTGAGCTGTGGGGTTCAAAGTTGCAAGCACTGATTGCCACTGAGGATGACGATTGAGGCTTTCTTAAGCCCCAACACAATGCTCGTGGAAGATTGCACAAAGTGAGCTCACACATTCCTTGAATGCATATCTGTATGTCGTTACTTGCCTCTGGAAACCCCAGCTCCATAACCCCAACGCCAAACGCCGTGCCTCTCCTTATGTTCTCCTTCCCGTAAACAAGTCGACCTCCTCGGGCCGCACCCTCTTGGTCTTCTTGACGAACTTCCACCACAGCACATTGATAACATACACCGGAATCCCGATGTACGCCGTCAAGAACTTGTCCACCTGAAAATACGGAATAAACGCGGCATACCCGCTGAAGATAATGACCACCACCGTAATCGCCAACGCAATGTACGCGCCCCACGGCAGCAGCACATTCCGATACGGCATGACGCTCCGATCCACACCCTGCACCTTCATGGCCCGAATCATCGCGATATAGCTAACCAGCACAGCGACCCAGTTGAGCGCGCCAAACACCGTCACGAGCGCCACAAAGTACCCAAACACGGTGGCAGCCGTCTTGGTGGCGTTCATGAACCCGAGCGCGATGAAGAGGGACGAGAGCGCGACGGCGGGGACGGGCACGCCGTTGCGGTTGGTGCGCTGCATGATGTGCGGCGCCTGGCCGTCCTTGCCGAGCGCCCACACAGTGCGAGAGGCGAGGTAGACGTCCGAGTTGGCGGCGCTGATGGTGAAGATGAGCAGGAGGCCGTTGACCGCGTCGTCGAGATGGGCGACGCCCGCGATTTGCGCGGCGACGGTGAAGGGGGAGGCCACTGGGAAAGTTGTTAGCGGGGAATCAGTGCGTGTGGGAGGAAGGGGTGGATGAATGGAGCTGAAGGAGAATCGCCGGGACGGGACATACATCCACTGGTACCCTTCTTGGTGGCTTGTGCCAGCTCCTTGCTGTTGTACGGGACGGCCATGCCGAGAACCAGGACACCGGCGATATAGAAGAAGACGATACGAAGGAGAGTCTGGGTGACGGCGCGGGGGACGTTCTTGCGCGGGTTCGGCGTTTCTCCGAATGCGACGCCGACGAGTTCGGTGCCGAGGTAGGCAAAGGTGGCCTGGACGATGCAGGCCCAGACGCCCAAGAATCGGCCGGTGTCGCCGGGGACGACATGAGTATTGTTGCCAATTGTCACCGAGTACTCGGCAAAGGCGCCTGGGCTCTGCCAGAAGTAGAAACCGGTTCGGACGCCATTGGGGCCACCGCCGAGAGCGATGATGAAACAGAGCAGGATAAGCATCATGATGACGAGAGCCTTGATCAGCGACATCCAGAACTCGGCCTCGCCAAAAAACGAGACGTGGATCAACTGCGGCGGGTTAGCGACCGCTTCAAGCCTGTGTGGGGAAGACGACGCACATTGAGGATGATAATCGCCACGCCAAAGACGACAATCCACACCGACACGTTGATATCAGGCCGCCACTTCTGCAGGAGGATGCCCGTCGCCGTCAGGTTGTTGGGCAAGACGATGACGTATTTGAAGAAGTAGTTCCAGCCTGTCGCAAACCCCATGGCCGGGTCGACGAAGCGTGATGCATAGCCAGAAAAGCTCTTCTTCATAGGCAGCCAGGCACCCATCTCTCCGAGGGCGACCATGACAACGTAGACGACGAAGCCCATGAGGGCGTACCCGAGTAGCAGTGACGCGGGTCCAAGCTTGAGGGCATTGCCAGTACCGATAATGAGGCCTGCCAAAAGTCAGTAGGTTACCCTGACGACTCTTAGGCTTTCTTTGCACGTACCGGTTCCAATGGCGCCCGCAATAGCCATCATGTCTGCATGCCGTCAGTATGCGCCTGGATCGTCGCCGGATCGTTGAAAAACGCACTTAATTATCGCGGCTTCATGCCCCGGTGCAGGTCATCCTGGGCCTCATCGACAATTCCCTCCTCGCTGCTGTACTCGCCTGGCGCTACCTCCTGGACGGGCGCCGGGGCCTTCTCGCCCTTCTCATTGTTGCGATTCCTCGAAAACAGACCCGCCATGGTTGGTATGTGCCGCTCGGCCAGCGGTCCAGGAAGAAAGAGAAGAAGAAGAATGGCCGTGGATTGGGTACCAAGCCGATATTGAACATTCAACGCGGAGGGGAGCAAGAAGGGGATGGGGCGTTAAAGAGTGAGCTGCGACGGCAAAACCGGTAGGGGAGTAATATATGATCTACAAAAATGGCGTTGCAAGATAAGGGTACCGTCGGGGTGCCCTCGGTCTGCAAAGTGGAACAAGGAACCATGCTCGCCTCCAGTGCGACTGTCGGTTGGCATCCGTGTTAACGGGGGGTTGGTTTTCCATCATGCACGGGCGTTGGGGTCAGGTGTGGGCTTGGATGACGGTGTCACGGTGGGCGAGCTGGGCCGAGCATTGCCGCGACGGGGAGCAGTAGGGTCTGGCAGGGTCTGCGCGTTCCTCGCCATCAGAGGCGTGCGGAATCTCATGATTGATAACGAGCGATGCGAATGGAGGTGGCGCTGGTCGGCCCGGGGACGTTACAGTCTAGTCCAGGGACCGGGGTTAGTCTGATGAAGGATCCAATGTTGGACCTGATAGCGACAGCCCGCCTGGACGACGCGGGGCAACTCGGCCGCGCGTCAGCTGAGCCGCAGCCTTCTCGAAGCCAGGTATTGGAAGGTTAGACGACTTGGACAATCGCCCAGCGACCGAGAGGAAGTAGCACCCTTTGGTAACTCAAACAGAAATCGCCCATCCAAACTAAGCATTGGAGTTGGCAACAAACTTTTGGTGGCTGTGAACGGCGAGGCTTGGCTGACATCAAATTGTCGGGCAACCGGACTTGCAGCAGCGCAGATCATCGCCGGCGGCAGACAGGATGTCTTGGGGATGTTTGGCCGAGCTGCGGGGCATCCAAGGCTTTTCCAGCGGGGCTTTGCAGATGCTTATGATCCCGATGAGGAAGGTGCTCACGACTGGACAATGAGACCATTACTCAACAAAGTGGCGCGATACGTCTCGACGGTGCGTCAACCGGAACAGGAAATACGCCTCTATTGGATGATAGATCCAATACCTCCCACTGTGGTAGATAGATAGTTTGGTGAAGCTGGCTGGCTACGTTCTCTTCGTCTCTGGGACTCACCTGCGCTAGCATTACGAGGGCAGCTCTAGATCAGGTAGGTACCTTTGCAGCCCTAATTACTAGTGCAGCTCTCAGTACTGTCCATTGCTGCTGTAGAAACCTTGAGTGTTTGGGCAATGCAGGTTTAATGAGTGGAACTGACTTTAACGCTCCTCATCGCTTAACTAAATGAACTTCTATGTTGGGTTAGGATCTGAAACGAGGGACGAAACCTAAATCAATGGGCATAGGGGTACACAAGCTAAGTCAAAACTGGAAAAACAGAGACCTACTGAAACTGACAGGCAGAAGTGCGCAGAAAGGAAGAGAAACATGGAAGAACGCCAGAAAAGAAGCCTGAGACTGGAATAAAGGCGGTGCCAGGGTTAGGGCTATGCTGCTGCTTGTACCTGGCCTCTAACCGACTGTCCTGTCTCATAACAATCCTCAAAAGTCTAACTCACCTAGCTTATGCCTCGGATATCCTTTTTAACTGGCCCCCTCCGCGGCCAGTGATAATTGGGTCCCATTCAAAATCATGGTGCAATTGGCTGTCTTCGACTTAGAAGCTGGCGAGATTTTGGCTCGTCGAGTGCCAACAAGGACTTTTCCGATGGAGCGCCTTGGTGCCGGTTGATGGCCTGAAGCCGTGGAGCTCAGCCGGGGATTCCTTCAGAGGGCCTTGACCCGACTCAAGGTGCCCTTCCACAATGTCGCCATTACTTATTCGCGCCCCATGTGAGTGCGTGGTGCCCGGTGGCTAGGTGGCTTAAGGAGTGAAGCTACTCGCGAGGGATTATGGATTGAGATACCTAAGAGTTAACCATTCGCACCAACCACCTACGCCAAATGCGCCATCCACTGAATTGATTCGATTATTAATGGTTTCCACAGGGTAATTCATAAGCCCATTACTGCACTGGGCGCGACACCTTTTTCCAATGTTTCTTTCCCTGCGCCCACAGCTGATGGAACTGGCAGGTGCGGGTGCGCCTGCCAACCCAATGACTTCCGAGTCCCTCACGCCCTCGAACTTCTTGAGCATTCTTGATCTCGATGACATCTCTTGAATTTTAGTTTTTTCTCTTTTTTGCCTGCAGTCTAGCGCCAACAAGCAGATATTTCAGTACATCCCGAGCACAGAGTACATCGGCGTCTCGCGTTCTCTCGCCCGACTCCGATTATATTTGTTTCTCTGTCAAAGTTACAGTCTCTCCTGTCGTTCGCATCATCTTATCGTCCGGATTGTATTTTAATAAAGGCACATCGTTTACGATTGTCCAACGACGCAAGTATCTCAGGTACAAATTCAGTGGTGTCGATATGGTTATACTACCGCCATTCTCCTTCGTCTTCCCCTTCTCTTCCTCTTGCTCTTCCTAGAACTTGAACTAGAAGCGACAAAACTTACGGCGAACCCATCTTGCACTGAATCCCAGGTCCTAGCCCTATGCCCAACATGGGCTGAAGAGGGAAAAGCCCCGAAGAATATGTCGCAAAACATGACAGGCTTCCGGTTCGCGCCCGGAATACTGCTCGACTCCGAGACTGACACCATCCTGGTCGTATTTCGCATCTCACAAATGCACCAGTCCCATCGCTCGTACGATGGTTTGGACCAAAGAGATGGTCCACGAGAGGCTCCTGGAGCTCATGGAGAACTGCCATACCGTCCGACAACTGATGCTCAGCAGTAATCGGATGGAGCGCCTACTTTGGGAACAAGTTCAGATGCGCACCCCTGCGGCGAATACCATTCCGGTGCGCATCATCCGACGGTTGGCGCTCCAGCTGGCCCAAGCCGCCTGAAAGAACGTACAAACCCTCAGCGCAAAAGTAACGGCGAGGAGCTTACTTGGTGCAAGCTTGCCATTGCCTTGGTCCGGTTCGCCAGAGACATTTACAGGTACGAGGCTGACTCGGGCCTTTGGTGTAACGATCCCGAGCTCCGGCACAACTGCTTCGAACTCCAAACTCCAGCCATGCGAGCAGACGGCAAGCCCAACAGCGACCGCAACGGCAACCCAGTCACCATCCCAGTTTTCCCTGTCAGGAACCTTGGCAAGTGTTACGGCTTGCACAGCCTCAGAACAACGGTGTGGGAAGAGACGGCGGAGGAGACTTGGTGAATGATGAAGGACTTCATGCGCGTGTAATGCGACCGCGTTAAGTCTACAATCAAACTTGGTTGTTTGTAGCGCGGAACTTGGTATGGAAAGAAGAAAATGAAACTGTTCACTCTAAGTTAACTAGTATTCACCTTCTGTTCTTCTTTCTCCTCTTCTTGCTCTTTTTTTTTTTTCCTCTTCTGATGTTTCTTCCCTTCTTTTTCCTCTACACCCTCCTTTCGATCTTCAGATTTTCCTACTTTGATTACCTTCTTGCAATCACATGTTTCCTTCTTCTACACGTGTACTGCTCCGTAGGGCTTGCCAATGTGACCCGCTAACAATCAAACGGCGGCCCCACTGCGGAGTTCAGGTATGCAAGGTAATCTGACCCGGCGATCTGACCCGGCGAGCTGACCTTGCAGAAGAATTGGAGCACGGGTGCAGACTGATCACAACAAAGCCACGAAACATGCACACAAATCTTGAAGGAAGAAACTGTCAATGGCTGAATCAGTCCCAAGCGCCGCTGCATTGTCAGCACGAACGCGCAAGGCGGCATTTGTTGAACCCTTTTTATATATGACCATGCGTCTCGAGATCAAGGCAGTGAAGTGCCCTCGTCCTCCAGCCTCTCCTCCACCCGCCCCTTCCAATACATAAATCCTCAGGCACCGTCGTCTTTGACACATTGCCGGACAACCACGCCTGTTCCTTCTGGGGCTTATCATCTATTGGCTCATTCTTACTTTCGCGATCCCATCTTTTTCTCCCTTACTGGAGCCAGCTCTCGGACAGTCCATTCGACCCTCCGTCCAGCATGACATCCACAAATGTGCTCATCACTGGTGCAAACCGGGGCATCGGTCGTGGTCTACTGGAGCTGTACCTCACGCGCCCGAACCACACCATCATTGCTGCGGTCCGTGACCCGAACCATGCTACTGCCAAGGAGCTCACTGCCCTCTCGAGGAGTGAGAGCACGTCGCTGATCACCGTTAAACTCGATCTCACTATTCCTTCGGACCCGGCTAGGGCCGTTACAGAACTGGCCAACCATGGAATTGACCGCATCGATATCCTCGTCGCCAATGCCGCCATTGCCTTGAAGTGGGTCAAGGTTTCCGAGGTGACAACCGACGATATCCAGCAGCATGTCGACGTAAACGTCTACGGCTTCGTCCGGCTTTTTCAGGCCTTTCTTCCTGTGCTGCAGAAATCTAAGGATCCTAAATTTGTCACGATCGGCTCGTGTGCTGCATTCCTCACGGTAGGCCGGGGATTATCCCTATCGTCAACCCATCTCGGTCCGGTCACTAATCATTGCATATCGTAGTGCGTGATAACCTTGGCTTCTGCGATCCTGCCCACGTCGTTGCTACGACACTGACGACCACGTATAGGAACTTCATCCCCATGAAGAATGCGGCGTATGCCCCTACCAAGGTGGTGCAGCATTGGTTGACCAAGGCTATCCATACCGAAGAGCCCTGGCTTACCTCCTTCCCCGTCGATCCAGGGTAAGTCCTGCATTGAATGCAGGTACCGGTTTGACTAGCTCGTGACAGCTCTCTAACTCCTCATCTAGTTGGGTGCAGACAGATCTCGGCCAACGAGGAGCCCACGCATTCGGCTACGAAAAGGCTGCCATCACGGTGGATGACAGCGTCAACGGAATTATCAAAGTCATTGACGCCTCGACAAGGGAGACGCATGGCGGCAAGCTTTGGGTGTACACGGGCCAGGAGTCTCCCTGGTAGATGTTGTCCATTGCCAGGTCGCGTCATCTTCGTTGCGGATTCGAATGCTTCTCTTTTCTGTGGATCGGCTAAGGCTGGAATTGCCAGGACCTGAGTGAGGCGAAGCATACCAAGTATGTAACTATACCTACCTGGTGATAACGAAATTTCCTTATTTTTTTTTTTTTTTTTTTTTGTGTGGAACCGGGTGCAGTTGACGATATGAAACTTTCGGTCATCCTGCTTCAAAGGAACGAGGGACGGGAAGCGACAGATGTGCAATCAAAATCCTCGACAAGGCAACGGCAGGGCTGATTTCAGGCAAAAACATAGAACCTGCCAGAAGATTCCTTACCTTTGACGTCCACGGTGCTGTTGCTCCGGAGGCTGCTGCGCCGCATGAACGCGTCCGCTCACCGCGCGGATTCACGAACGAATGACAAGAGAAGTTTGAATCTGGATAACGATGTGTTATTCCGCTTCGTCGCGGCCCTTACCAAATCTGCACCTTTGTCTCACAGTTGGGTATATCTTGTGTTACTGCAACTGCGGCATACCGGGAAGACGGATATTCCGTTGCTTATCGAGGCCGACGACTACCGGCTAACCTTGGATCATGGACAAGTGATGTCAAATAAGAACTGCGTCAGTGGCGAAAAGTAAATGATTTAAAGCAGACATGGCTCCCAAGCCCTTCACTTGAGCAGAGATATTAAAATATGAGACACAACGATTGCAGATATCCATCACTCTGTAAAAGCAAACCGAAAGAACGTCGCTCGTCCCGAGGCATGTCCTAGGATGATTGTGTGACCATGAACCGCCACACATGTTGCCCGATAGTCGGCGGGAAGCCAAAGAACGCTCTTCCCATTTCTTGTGACCCAATCGTCGCCGACGAAGAGAACACTGCTGGCTGGTTTCTGGTCGCCAGAGCCGCTTGAAGCGTCGCAGTTTACAGTTATGCTTAGCAGCCCTCTATTTGTCTCGAGACATTGACCATTCATAGAAAACGCCACTGCCCAGATTGAATCGCCATGCCCCTCGAGCGTCTGCCGGTGAGCGCCGGTCGCCGCATCCCAGAGCCGGACGGTCTTATCACTTGAAGCCGACGCGAGTGTCTTGCCGTCCGGCGAGAACGCCACTGCGCTGACCGAGCCGCAATGCCCTTCGAGCGTCTGCCGATATGCGCCGGAGCCGCGATGCCCCTCGAGCGTCTGCTGGTGCACGCCGGTCGCCGTATCCCAGAGCCGGACGGTCCTATCGTCTGAAGCCGTCGCTAGCGTCTTACCGTCTGGCGAGAACGCTACTATGCTGACCGAGCCGCTATGCCCCTCGAGCGTCTGCCGATACGCGCCCACTGGTCTGTAATGCCAGCGGTCATTTCGATAAAAGGCAGCCTTTCCTTCCAATACCGCTTTCTAATCTCGCTCAAAGTTGGGCTGAATACGAGCGCGAAGCTATACGTTTGCAAGGGGGCCCGCTCTATAATCGATCTGTGACTGAGTACAAGCTTCTCTGCGTCTTCCAACAGCTGACGAAGGCAAGGGTTGATGTCCGATTGCGACTGATTGAACTTAGTAACCCGACAACAATACGGCATTAACAACATACCTGAGCGGCATATAGAATCTTTCTTATCGAGAGCAGCCCACTAGAAAGTTTCCCTAGGAGAGACAAACTCTCAAGCCAGCGGAGGAAGTATTCTTTCAGGAATCCAAACACCTTCCCGTCGTCCGTCAGTTCTCCCAGGAGCCTGGAGTTGTCGCTGCTCAAGGAGCAGAGATGGTCGGCCCAGAAGATGCAAGAGTATCGTATTGGAGCCAGGGGATCTGGATCAGGAGGCGTCATATTCTCCGGTTTGAAGCCGAGCTCGAGGCGTACATGTTGCGTCTTAGGACTGAGGACATCGCATCGATTGCACGTATGCCGATGTCCACATGCCCTTGAGTGGGCCCAGCTGGCTGAAGTCGAAACTTGTAATTCTTCTCCAGGTAATCCTTTGCCGACTGGCGGATCAAGTTGACTGTTCCCTTGGCGATTGTGAGAAATGAGCCGCACATCTCGATAGCCGTCTCTGCGATGGATGGATGGCAGGCCGGCAAGTACGGAAAGCTCCGAAATAGAGAGCGGGCGGAAGGCAAGAGATGTAACCACCAAGACTGTCTTACAGTCCTGGGGCTCAATCACTTGCCCCTCCTCAATCCTGGTCATCATGTGATCGTACAATTCCGACAAGCCAGGAGGCATATCTTTAATACGCTTGACAGCGTACCCTCCATGCACTGTCTCGAGGACTTTGAACGCGAGGGCCACCCACAAAAAGGTGTTCTCTGCTCGTTCGCGGACTTCGTGTGACACCTCGGCCAAAACGCTGTCGTTGTATCCTTTTCTACCCTTGAGGATTGTGAGCTTGTGGTCGATGTATGCATTGACAGGTGCTGCTAGATGTTGCGTGTCTAGTTCGGCAAGGGAGTCGGTAGCGTCCACGGAGACGTGGTCGTCACCGACCCAACTACTGGTCTGGCGGTCAAAAGCTTATCTTTTCGGGGAAGAAGGTCAGAAAACAGATGGCCCCAGGATCCGTCTGTTAATTAGTGCTCTCCGTTTCAAGAAAACGGTGAAACTGGCTGTGCGGCAGAATCGTCAGGTTTACGGCATAGGCCGCCAATCAAGCACTCCCATCGGAGAGGCGCAGCACCCCGCCCAGGCAGCAGCGGAAATGAGCATGGGCAAGCGGGAAGCTCATACCTACAGTACCCAACCAAACCACACGACATGCATCACGTAGAACAGTAATTGAAACGTTTTAATGGTGGCGACTCCGCGTGTCCTGTTCTTCCCAGCGCGACTTCGCTAGAAGGTTTCCTTCGTAGGATGAGCTTGAGGTAGCAAGTCCATTGTAGGGCAGCGTGCTTGGCCGTACATGTGTTTGGCTCGAAGCTGCTGCCCAACCGCGTTGGCAAATTTGCGCCCCGCTGCATTGTGGCCGACGTGCGGTGACCGGGGGCTGAGATGCAGCTGCTGTGCCACGGTCACATAGGCCATCCTTGACTTGTCGCGCAGCACTGCACATCGAAGCCCTCGAAGACGTTCAACCCTTCACAAATCTCTCGTGCTGTCTTTTGTTTACGTACATACAGTAGAGACGGCAAACCCCTCGGCCCTGCCTGTGCCGCTGTTCGACGCGATAACCGCAGGGAATGCAACCGTCGACTTCTAATCGTCGCCACCGACGCTTTATCTTCCACACCCCGGACAAATTCTTGCAGGGAAGCCTCACTATATCCAGTTCTCCTTGGGCAATCGATCGTAAGCCATGGATTTATACAACGCTGTGTGTAGCGGACGAACGGAGGCTGCACGACTGCTTCTTGACGAAGGTGCGGATGTCAACGCTCAAGGAGGTGTATATGGGACTGCTCTCCAGGCCGCCGCATCGAAAGGAGAGACGGAGATCGTGCGACTGCTTCTTGACAACGGTGCGGATGTCAATGCTCAAGGAG